TGCTGATCAGTACAATTCAAACCAAGAGAGTTCCAGCATACAGTGCTACAGTGCTATTAAATTCTGACGAGAAGGCTGTCACGCAAGTAAGATGTTCTACAATGAAACATTTCCAAGTGATGAATTTTGATACTCTTCTGCAATCCTCAAAATATTTAAGAAATACATTTCAGAAACACATCTCGTCATGGAGGTTGTGGAGGCCAAGAGGCTAACTGGAGCCACAAGGCTCTGCAGCATACCTGCCTGACCATTTGATTTCTAGAGGGGGTGGGGAAAACAAATTACAGTTCGTAGATTTGTGTAAATAAAAAGCTCAGTCTGCAGCTGCTCGTAAAAAAATAACTCAGCCTAAATAAAAAGTCTCGACCACAATATGGCCATCCTCATCAATACGGAATATCTTGTGAGCAAAGCAATATTTTTTTACTGAGAGACAGTATGCCTCTAGCCCTTTTTTTTAATAATCATTTCAAATCTTCCATTTCAAGAGGCCATAACAGATGTTGACTCTGATGGGAAATGACCATTAAGCATCATATACCCTTACTTGGAAACTGACGAGCAAGAGAAATGTTACCAATTGTTTGTTTGTTTGTTGCTAAAAACAGAACCGGACGATTCTTGTGTGGTCAAAAGACGTGAATTAACAGCATCATTTCAAGTTATGCCATGAGAATCAAGTTGGCCTAATATGTACCCTATTATAGTTTGAGATACGTCAGTTGTGATGATGAAGGGTTACATGTGTGAAGCCTATTTCCGGTGTTCCCCACCATGATATTGCTGGAATATTGCTAAAAGCGGAGTAAAACCATATTCACTCACTGAGGATGAGCCGACCAACACAATTCCTATCATGACATCCAGTAAACAGTTTCCGTTTGGTTGGAAAGAGAAAGAGAAAGAACGGATAATATACAAATGTTCGGCTCTTACGATGTGTGGCAGTTCATGAGTTCAAATAGCAATAGTCAATACAAGTGTACAAATAACTAGTCTTCATTATCCGCAGAAACATTACCATTTGGCGTAAAGGGCAAAATGGACGTGAAAACCATATGAATAAACCACTGAACATGAAGCCTCATGTTGGACCAAATTCCTTGTCAAAATAGAGTTGCAATGTATAAAAGTCCCGTGATATGTCTGGTTACTACATTTTACCACCACCAAAGAAATTCGCTGTGCAGAGTTGCGTCCCTTGGCCACACCAGAAACCTATGATTGTGGATTGAATCCTGGTTCGCCCCAATTATGTTTCTAGATTTGTCCGCACCATACCCTTAGGTGGTGGGTTTCACCGAAGTGGTAAAAGTCCGAGACCTGCATCACTTGGAGCTTTCCTTCCACATTAAGCTGACACACCGTGATATAACTGGAATACTGTTAAAAGCGGCGTTAAACCCAACTCACTCACCCACTGAACTATGGGACATGGCACATATCACTGGTTCGCTTTGTCCAGACTGAATTATGTACACACCATCATCACATACTGTGCAAAAGAAGTTAGGGATAGTGAATATTTTTGGGATAGTGAAGTCAATTTTATGAAAATATCCCCAGATTTATGATCCCTAACTTTTTTTGCCCAGTATAGAGAGAATATTGAGTGTGTCCTCAAACAACAAACTCAAGTTTTTTCTGCCTTAAATCTGGTTCAATTAAAATACATGGACACAAATTCATTAAAATAATTTATTTGTTTTTACAGAGATGAATGATAGATATATATACATATACACACAGTGACACTGCTTTTTAGGACTTCACACTTCTTACAGCTCTATATATTATGTAGGTGCATTGCTTAATGTTCCACATACAAATCAAATTTCTTAGAAGTTAACAGATGACGAAGTAGACACAATGTATGGAGGGATTTGCTTGACAACTATTAGTATCTATGCCAGTCTATCGCTTTAATAGTATGAAGTTGTTATATATATCGTATTCAACGTAATAAGCGCCCAGGGCGCTCTCAAAATAAGAAATAGGGGGCTCTTATTAGAATATTATTTTGGTGACAAAAACAGAGTTGAAAGATAAATTTTGTGATTGATGCTGACAGCCAGAAATGTTTATATACGCGAGATACATTTTTCCAGAATTTAATTGCCCATAATTAAGGGTGCATATAACACCCGAGTGCGTACTATACGCGAATAAATAAGTGTTGTGTACATTGATCAATCAGAAGGGGTGCTAATTGGTATTGTTAAATAGCCAATATGTTAGCAAATATCGTTGTGGGCAATTAGAGCAGGCCGCTTATTACGTCGAATACGGTAAATTGCGTCTACTTCAACAAACAATCATATTGTTCATCCCAACAATTTCACTGGTAACAGGTTGGTGGGTCAAAACAAAATTAAACAATAAAAAGTCTCATTTCAAATATTTATGTAATAATTATATACATTTTCAACAGGTATTAATTAAAGTATATAAATAATTTATTCATATTATTAGCAACAGTAAACAAGTTAATTCTTTCGATGTTTTTCTTATTTATGGTCGCCCCAACTGCTTTTCATTTTATTTGTTCACATTTGGGGAGTCGGCTGATTCTTAACCAAGTGTTAAAAAGTCGGACATTGACAGTGTTCCTCTCTACACCATGCCCCAAGTCACAGCAAGCTGTTATATACTTCCGCCAATACAGGACAGTCTCAATCACACACTTCACATCCCTTAGGGAAGAGAGATAAGGGGTGTCATGAAAAATTGAAACAGGGAAAGAGGGGTGTTACCAAAATATATGAGGGCGGTCGGGTAGCCGCGTGGTTAAAGCGTTCGCTCGTCACGCCAAAGATCCAGGTTCAATTCTCGACCTGGGTACAATGTGTGAAGCCCATTTCTGGTGTCCTCCGCCATGGTATTGCTGGAATATTGCTAAAAGCGGCGTAAAACCATACTCACTCACCCAACCACCCACCCTCCCACTCACTCACTTACTCACTCACTCACTCAAACTTATCAAAACTCTCGGGGGGGGGGGGGGACAGCAATATTTAGTCAAATAAAAAATTCCTAAATTTAAACATTGTCTAGGGACTGGTCATTCATGGGAATGAAAAACTGTCACATAAGATAGGTGGGGTGAGGTGAAATTGGGTTTAACATCGCGTCCAAGATGATTGCTCTTATATAGCGACGTGCATGCAAGTGTGTGTATGTGTGTGTATGGCTGCCTGTACAAGTCCAGACAAATGTCTATTTTAGAGTGCTAGCTCACTGAGATACCACCGCAGTTTAAACATAAATACTCCACTCTGACACAGTATACTGACTCCGAGCCCACCAGTCCTTAGCCTCTTAATGCTGAGCGCTAGGCATGGTAACCACCAGTACCATCTTCTTATGTCTTTCAGGTGATGACGCGGCTGGGGATCGAAACACGGACCTTCCTCTCTCCGGGCAAATGCTCTGCCTCTGGACCACGGAGGCAGTCACAAAAACTAGGGGAGGGGAGGAGGGCAAAATATGACCCTGACCAATCCCCCTGACCAGCCCCACTGACCACTCGGGTCAGTTACAAGGAGCATATATTTAGACAAGTAAAGGGGTTTGATGCGCGACAAATTATCTAATAAGACAAAAGAGCATGCAGTTTCAAATCAGTTGTCAGAATTCTGAGGATGAGTAAATATCTGGAAAGATGGCATCTTCATTTGGAGAGAAAGGAGGATTTAGCACAACTTTGACCAGTATTAAAGTAGTATCACACTGGTCAGCGTGATATTGAAGAAAAGCCAAAGTAATGGAAATCGTTACCATTTTTGTGAAACCAACAAGCAGGAATGGTCTGAAGGAAAACAAGTAGATCCTTGCACATGAAAGGGAAGCAACTCTTGAGTAAATTGCGGCTTTTAACGAGCGAAAACAAGGATCATACATCAGTAGATCCTCACACAAGCTCCTTCCCAGCGCGCGACACCTTCGTTACACTCTCGGTAACATCAGTGTGGGCGCGGCCATTACAAGAATCTTGAAATTTGCCCTCTAACCCCGTACGTAGTAACGTTGATACTTTTGTTTATGTCTTTGGGAATGCCATCATATTTCATTTTGAAAAGTTTTACGACTGACCATGTTTTCCAGATGAATTTACTTTGTTGTTTGTATAATCAGATTACTTTGAGATTGCAGACTAACGGAAAATCAACCAACTTCTCCCTTATATTCTTACTATATCAATAACACGATAGTTTTAATGAAACAGAAATTCAAATTGACAAACGAAGAAAGTAATTTAGCAGCGATAAGTGTATTCGGCGTCACGACAGTTGTCGCTTGTTTGTAAACATAACGGTCATTCAGTTGTGAGTTCAACTCCAAGCATGGTTGTGGCCATCTATTCCCAGTGTGGAGTTTTGACTGGTGGCAGCGATAGTATAGAGAGCTCCGCGAACGGGCTATCGCTGTGAGGATCTTGGATTCTCACACATGAAAGGGAAGCAACTCTTGAGTGAATTGTGGCACTTTAAACCACTGGGCTAACTTTGAAAAGCTATTGAACGAGCGTATCACTGGAAAATGTCAGTACCGTGTTGCTAAGCCTTACAAATTTGTTTCTTTAAAGATGAGTGGAAATCGATTATCAATAGTCCCTAATTTGTACCTAATCCTGCTTGAACCAGACAAGATTGTTTACTGTGTCTATTTCTACCGGTAATATACTTGAGAACGACATGTTCAACATTACCTTAACAAATACGCAACCATAAGTATTTCTGTGATATCTGGAATGTAATGCTGTATTTCTGAAAGGAAAAACCTGTAGAATTGGCGATTCCTGGAAATCTCATGTTAATGTCATCAATATCAGACCTGTGCTAGAGTTCCTCATCATTTCTGTATATTCGAATTAAAACAAAGTCTTCAGATCTGATGCAATGTGCAGCATCTTGAAAATTGAAGAAAATGACTTGAAGTGACCACAAATCAAATCATGCTTCATGACAAAATTGTTTGTTGTGCATATAAGATGAACCAATCTTTTAAGCTGTATTGTCAAAGTCATCACAATCACTTTCACTGTCCAGTTCTGTGAATTTATCTCAGCACAGCCGTTTCGCTTGTACATTCTCCAGTGTCAGTCCACGACCTTGACCGACTGGATGTGTGGTGAGAGCACGACCGGTGACCCTTGACCTGCTAACCTCTTGAAGATCTGACCTCCTTGCTGTGATGGGAACTTGCTGGCTGCTGCTTTCCCAATTGTTTGCTGAAAAAAACGACAAATTTAAACATTAAACTTTCAAGGAAACAAAAACAGATATTCATCCCTAGTCATCGATAGGGGCTCCCGGGATTCAGGTTACAGTGAGTGAGTGTGTTGGGTTTAATGCCACTTTTAACAGTATTCCAGTTATATCGCGGCGTGTCAGCTTAATGTGGGAGGAAAGCCCGAAGTGATGCAGGTCTCAGACATTTACCACTTCGGTGAAACCCATGAGCACGGGTACGGTGCTGACAAACCTAGAAACATAATCGGGGCGAAACGGAACTTAATTGGATATTTGATCTGAAAACTATCCACCCACAAGGCATGAACGATCAACCCTTTTTGTCCTTAAGTCTTCCTTTATTTTCCTTAGGTCCCCATGGTTAAAGATATGATATTATTTGTGCAAACAATTACAGGTCATACAGCATGGACCAACTACCTCAGGCAGGGAAACAGTTTGTGACTTTTCTTCATAAGTATAATTATCTGGCTAGTAAGGGAAAAGAAGTAATTTTTTCCAGAGTTCTGAATTTCAGGGTTGGTGATAACCAGTGCCCGAACTCACTGATAACTTTTCTCTTGGGCTGCATGAAATTTTCCTTCACCTGCCTGACTGGCAGATAAATGTATGACTACTTACATATTCAGTTTTATCATGTATACTGAACTGCAAAAGAAACATCACCATGGATAGATTTATGAGAAATCTTATTTGTCCAAACACTGTAAACATACTTCAAGACATATTAAAAAGATGAAACTTGCAAAACTGATCATCAAGATTGAAATAAAAGTGTCAGATGTTCTTAAAGTGAAACACAACACTAGTCTCTGAGAAAATGGCATCATAAGTCAGTATCTCGTGTGTCCGCCATGTGCATTGATGACTGCCATGCAATGTCGATACATGGAATGGATGAGGCGGTTGATGAAGGCCATAGGCACTTGAGCCCACACTCTAAGGAACGCCTGATGCAGTTCAGCTGCTGTTTTCGGCCTTGATCGGACGTCATTCAGCCGTCTTTGAATCTCGTCCCACAGGTGCCCAATGGGATTTAAATCAGGATTGAGTGCAGGCCACTGCATGGTTCTGATGCCATTCTGCTGGAGGAAGTCTCTTGTTGCCTCGCAGTGTGGGCACGGGCGTTATCATGCTGAAACTCGTGGTTGTGGTGACGTGCCAAATAAGGTATGGCGTGTGGGCTCAAGACTTGATCAATGTACAGAGATGCTGTAACACCATTGCCTTTCCCTGGACCGATGTTCTGGAAGACCACAGGGCCGACCCTCTGTGCAAGACCAATTCCACCCCACACCATGACACTCGGACCTGCCCACGAGTCTCTCTCAACAACACAAGCATCCAAATTATGTTCCCCACGGCGTCACCAGACTCTCTCTGCCATCTGCTGTTGAGATACAGTAACGGCTCTCGTCTGAGAAGAGGACTCTTCTCCGTTGCTGGTGGCGCCAAAGCTGGTGCTTTGTTGCCCTCTGAGAGATGGTAGGCAACACTTATGGGTCACCTGCCCGACTGACCTGTTGGGTTTTCAAAATATTTTTAACACTGGTTATTAATGACATTTGAATCTGTTCATCAGTTACCTTGGTGACAGGCTGATGCCTCTCAACGATGACAGATGCCATGGGAGGAGCTAAGGTGGCGCCTGATGCTGTCTGACCACGAGTTGACTTTCCCGAATCGACCTTGGCAGTGACCTTAGCAGTGATGACCTTGCCGCGATGTGAAGATGATGTGGCGCTGGTGGGACGAGATGACACCTACAAGGAAACACTGGAACTGACTACCAGATACATTGTCAGGTAGATTAAACTCACCTACCATGCATCAAGGACTGAGGGATCATTGGACATTGTTCTATGCCCTGACTGCAACAGTCTTTCCACACGACCATAGAGCTCATGCTTAAGTGTGCCCTTAGAGCTTTATCCTCTACATCTCCAGGGTCCACTTGCACAAAGCGCTAAGATGATCGTAACTCCCATTCTTTAACATAGGCTTACGATAGTCTTTGCGCTAAGATCGCTTTGTGCATGTGGGTCCAGGGCCCCGTTCCTCAAACAGATCTTAGCGCTACGATGACCGTAAGCCTATGTTAAAGTATGGGACTTACGATCACCTTAGCGCTAAGATCGTTTTGTGCAAGTGGGTCCAGGGCCCCGTTCCTCAAAGCGATCTTAGCGCTACGATGACCGTAAGCCTATGTTAAAGTATGGGACTTACGATCACCTTAGCGCTAAGATGGTTTTGTGTAAGTGGGTTCAGGGCCCCGTTCCTCAAAGCGATCTTAGCGCTACGATGACCGTAAGCCTATGTTAAAGTATGGGACTTACAATCACCTTAGCGCTAAGATCTCTTTGAGGAACGGGGCCCTGGACCCACTTGCACAAAGCGATCTTAGCGCTATGATGACCGTAAGCCTATGTTAAAGTATGGGACTTACGATCACCTTAGCGCTAAGATCGTTTTGTGCAAGTGGGTCCAGGGCTCACATTTCAGTAAAACTACACTACCCACTGGATCCTATCCCTTGGTTCTCGCGATTTCAGATTATCCGTCCTCCGATCCCCCCAGTTCCTTAATAAATTATCATTACTCACAGTGACCTACAACTCATTTATAAACTTTTACATTCGGACGATAATTACAGTCCCAACAACCAATTTACTATCGAAATTAAGCCGTCTTAATCGGCCTGGACCAAACCAGACGTTCTCTCACTTTGAAATAAGCTCAATCATTGTCGGCTAAAACAACAATGCTAATCATGCATGTTTTGTTTGTTTGTTGGTTTGTTGTTTAACGCCGCACTCATCAATATTCCAGCTATATGACGGTGGTCTGTAAATAATCGAGTCTGGACTAGACAATCCAGTGATTGACATCATGGGCATCGATCCACGCAATTGGGATACGATGACATGCATCAACCAAGTCAGCGAGCCTGAGCACCCGATCCCATTAGTGGCCTCTCTCATTCTGCATGTAATCCTATTGATCTTAACACTTTGTTGTCTGATTACTATTTTGCTCTCCTGTTAATGAGAAACTCAGCCTAGTTAGACTAACTCAGTGTCATCAGCGTGTCAATTAATGATGGTAAACACAGCTTGCCATTATCAAACACTCCAAGTTACAGAGACACTCCAAGTTACAGAGACACTCCAAGTTACAGAGACACACCAAGTTACAGAGACGCTCCAAGTTACAGAGACACACCAAGTTACAGACACTCCAAGTTACAGAGACACACCAAGTTACAGAGACGCTCCAAGTTACAGAGACACTCCAAGTTACAGAGACACTCCAAGTTACAGAGACACTCCAAGTTACAGAGACGCTCCAAGTTACAGAGACACTCCAAGTTACAGAGACACACCAAGTTACAGAGACACTCCAAGTTACAGACACTCCAAGTTACAGAGACACTCCAAGTTACAGAGACACCAAGTTACAGAGACACTCCAAGTAACAGAGACACACCAAGTTACAGAGACACTCCAAGTTACAGAGACACACCAAGTTACAGAGACACTCCAAGTTACAGAGACACTCCAAATTACAGAGACGCTCCAAGTTACAGAGACGCTCCAAGTTACAGAGACGCTCCAAGTTACAGAGACACACCAAGTTACAGAGACACACCAAGTTACAGAGACGCTCCAAGTTACAGAGACACCAAGTTACAGACACTCCCAGTTACAGAGACACACCAAGTTACAGAGACGCTCCAAGTTACAGAGACACACCAAGTTACAGAGACACTCCAAGTTACAGAGACACTAAGTTACAGAGACACTCCAAGTTACAGAGACACACCAAGTTACAGAGACACTCCAAGTTACAGAGACACACCAAGTTACAGAGACACTCCAAGTTACAGAGACACTCCAAGTTACAGAGACACACCAAGTTACAGAGACACTCCAAGTTACAGAGACACACCAAGTTACAGACACTCCAAGTTACAGAGACACTCCAAGTTACAGCGACGCTCCAAGTTACAGAGACACTCCAAGTTACAGAGACGCTCCAAGTTACAGAGACACTCCAAGTTACAGAGACACACCAAGTTACAGACACTCCAAGTTACAGAGACACTCCAAGTTACAGAGACACACCAAGTTACAGAGACACTCCAAGTTACAGAGACACACCAAGTTACAGAGACGCTCCAAGTTAGACGCTCCAAGTTACAGAGACACACCAAGTTACAGAGACACACCAAGTTACAGAGACGCTCAAGTTACAGAGACGCTCCAAGTTACAGAGACGCTCCAAGTTACAGAGACACTCCAAGTTACAGCGACGCTCCAAGTTACAGAGACACACCAAGTTACAGAGACGCTCCAAGTTACAGAGACGCTCCAAGTTACAGCGACGCTCCAAGTTACAGAGACGCTCCAAGTTACAGAGACGCTCCAAGTTACAGAGACACACCAAGTTACAGAGACACTCCAAGTTACAGAGACACACCAAGTTACAGACACTCCAAGTTACAGAGACACTCCAAGTTACAGCGACGCTCCAAGTTACAGAGACACTCCAAGTTACAGAGACGCTCCAAGTTACAGAGACACTCAGAGTTACAGAGACACACCAAGTTACAGACACTCCAAGTTACAGAGACACTCCAAGTTACAGAGACACACCAAGTTACAGAGACACTCCAAGTTACAGAGACACACCAAGTTACAGAGACGCTCCAAGTTAGACGCTCCAAGTTACAGAGACACACCAAGTTACAGAGACACACCAAGTTACAGAGACGCTCAAGTTACAGAGACGCTCCAAGTTACAGAGACGCTCCAAGTTACAGAGACACTCCAAGTTACAGCGACGCTCCAAGTTACAGAGACACACCAAGTTACAGAGACGCTCCAAGTTACAGAGACGCTCCAAGTTACAGCGACGCTCCAAGTTACAGAGACGCTCCAAGTTACAGAGACGCTCCAAGTTACAGAAACACTCCAAGTTACAGAGACACACCAAGTTACAGAGACACTCCAAGTTACAGAGACACTCCAAGTTACAGAGACACTCCAAGTTACAGCGACGCTCCAAGTTAGACGCTCCAAGTTACAGAGACGCTCCAAGTTACAGAGACACTCCAAGTTACAGAGACGCTCAAGTTACAGAGACGCTCCAAGTTACAGAGACACACCAAGTTACAGAGACACACCAAGTTACAGAGACACACCAAGTTACAGAGACACTCCAAGTTACAGAGACACTCCAAGTTACAGAGACACTCCAAGTTACAGAGATGCTCCAAGTTACAGAGACACTCCAAGTTACAGAGACACTCCAAGTTACAGAGACACACCAAGTTACAGAGACACTCCAAGTTACAGAGACGCTTCAAGTTACAGAGACACTCCAAGTTACAGAGACACTCAAAGTTACAGAGACACTCCAAGTTACAGAGACACTCCAAGTTACAGAGACACTCCAAGTTACAGAGACACACCAAGTTACAGAGACGCTCCAAGTTACAGAGACACTCCAAGTAACAGAGACACTCCAAGTTAGACGCTCCAAGTTACAGAGACGCTCCAAGTTACAGAGACACTCCAAGTTACAGAGACGCTCAAGTTACAGAGACGCTCCAAGTTACAGAGACACTCCAAGTTACAGAGACACTCCAAGTTACAGAGACGCTCCAAGTTACAGAGACACTCCAAGTTACAGAGACGCTCCAAGTTACAGAGACACACCAAGTTACAGAGACGCTCCAAATTACAGAGACACTCCAAGTTACAGAGACGCTCCAAGTTACAGAGACGCTCCAAGTTAGACGCTCCAAGTTACAGAGACGCTCCAAGTTCACACTCCGTCGCAGTGGTGACTCAGCATAACACCACTGCCACAGGCTAATTTGCATATCATGTGACCGGACTTTTCTCTTGTTTGTAAACAAACGCGCTTTTTCAGAAATCAGTATAGAATGGACTAATGCAAGTATTTGGGGGCGCTTTACATATTGTTTTGCATAACTATATAGATATGCTACTACAACTGCGACAGTGAGTTGCATGACAATATATATTTATGCATCAAAGTGACCGTGTCGCTAGCTCTCCGTTGGGCTTCGATGACAGCACGTGGAGCCGTACAACCAGTGTAAACATAGGATAACTAGGCAAAAACAAGTAGATTTTTACGTATTTGCATACTTTCTCAATGAAAGTTAACCATTCTTTGACATTTGTTTATGAAAATGTGTAGACTTGTCAAACATGAAACGGATGAAAAGCATATGCAATATCTTGAATGGACTGTGAAAGATGTGACGAATCGTCACATGGCGCTGGCCTGTGGCAGAGGTACTATGCCAGCTGGCTGCCGGCCGCATGGAACTCTGGGTAGGAGAGTGACTCCAAGTTATGTGGATGGCAAATCGGAGGGCTTTGATAAATTCCCAGATTTTTTCTGATTGGCTGAACGACTTGAATAGATAGATGCGTAGACAGAGAATTAGAAATGCTGTTAATAGATAACGCTCCGACTCATCCAAACATGAGGTAGAATAGATCTTCAGCAACCCATGCTTGCCGTAAAAGACGACTATGCTTGTCGTAAGAGGCGACTTACAGGATCGGGTGGTCAGGGTCGCTGACTTGGTTGACACATGTCATCGTATCCGAATTGTGTGGATCGATGCTCATGGCATTGATCACTGGATTGTCTTGTCCAGACTTGATTATTTACAAACCACCGTCATATAGCTGGAATATTGCTGAGTGTGGCGTTAAACAACAAACTAATTGGTACTTGATCTAGGCTGTGACACTGTTGATGTACGTGATCCCTGGCTGGTGACTATACGAGGCGGGGTGGGAGACATGATATAGACCTACTCACACTTGATCTAGGCTGTGACACTGTTGATGTACGTGACCCCTTGCTGGTGACTATACGAGGCGGGGTGGGAGACATGATATAGACCTACTCACACTTGATCTAGGCTGTGACACTGTTGATGTACGTGATCCCTGGCTGGTGACTATACGAGGCGGGGTGGGAGACATGATATAGACCTACTCACACTTGATCTAGGCTGTGACACTGTTGATGTACGTGACCCCTTGCTGGTGACTATACGAGGCGGGGTGGGAGACATGATATAGACCTACTCACACTTGATCTAGGCTGTGACACTGTTGATGTACGTGACCCCTGGCTGGTGACTATACGAGTTAAGGGTGGGAGACATGATATAGACCTACTCACACTTGATCTAGGCTGTGACACTGTTGATGTACGTGACCCCTGGCTGGTGACTATACGAGGTGGGGTGGGAGACATGATATAGACCTACTCACACTTGATCTAGGCTGTGACACTGTTGATGTACGTGACCCCTGGCTGGTGACTATACGAGGTGGGGTGGGAGACATGATATAGACCTACTCACACTTGATCTAGGCTGTGACACTGTTGATGTACGTGACCCCTGGCTGGTGACTATACGAGGCGGGGTGGGAGACATGATATAGACCTACTCACACTTGATCTAGGCTGTGACACTGTTGATGTACGAGACCCCTGGCTGGTGACTATACGAGGCGGGGTGGGAGACATGATATAGACCTACTCACACTTGATCTAGGCTGTGACACTGTTGATGTACGTGACCCCTGGCTGGTGACTATACGAGGTGGGGTGGGAGACATGATATAGACCTACTCACACTTGATCTAGGCTGTGACACTGTTGATGTACGTGACCCCTGGCTGGTGACTATACGAGGCGGGGTGGGAGACATGATATAGACCTACTCACACTTGATCTAGGCTGTGACACTGTTGATGTACGTGACCCCTGGCTGGTGACTATACGAGGCGGGGCGGGGTCGGACGGTTTAGACATGTAGACAGCCTCCTGCGGTATTGTCTTGGAGTGACCGTAAGCTTTGTCCAGGGCATAACTGTCCAGATTGTCTGCTATATCATCAGGGGAAACACGCTTCCCAGTAGAAGCTGAAAACAAACCAAAATCATGGTGAGAGAGAGAGAGAGAGAGAGAGAGAGAGAGAGAGAGAGAGACACACACACACACTTCGGTGCAGTGGTGATTTAGCATAACACCACTGCAACAGGCTAATTTGCATATCACATTACCAGACGTTTCTCTTGTTTGTAAACAAACACGCTTTTTCAGAAATAAGAATAGAACGCACTAATGCAACATTCGTGACCAACTCGTGTTATTCCGGGACAAGCCGAATAGCGACTCGTGCCCCTCTCATGTCCATTTTTGCGACCAGGTTCTGTCTTAGCGCTAACAGGCATACCTAAAACAATTGTCCACTCGTTGCGTAATGGTTCACATATATTTACCCATATATTATATATATTTCAGAAGCAATTAAAGCACATCTGGAGGTGCGTAATTATACAGTATGATTGAACACATTTAACTGTGTCTTTGGTATATTTTTAGAAGCAAGACATATGCAAAATCAAAAATTATTTCTGTGGTATTCTTTGACGAAGAACTTGAAATCATACGCGCATTCTGATTGGTTTGTCGTATTTTCGCACATAACATTCATCGATAGGGGGACGAATCTTCTTGCAGGTTACGGAAAGGGGCAAGTGGTGACGAATGACTTATGCAAGTATTGTATAGATATGCTACTCCAACTGTGACAGTAAGTTGCGTGACAATATATATTTAATTTACACATCAAAGTAACCAATGTTGGCAGCGTTAGAAATTGGCACTAGTCCTGTAGTCCTTACCAAACTGCCCAATAGTTAAGGTGTCATAAGGACAAGTAGAAATTGGCAGTTTATAAGGGTTTGGCTTTACGCTATCATTATAAGGCTTAGTGGACTAAAAATGTTAGTTTCTACCCCTGGTTGGATAACTGCGTGTGTGTGTGGTGTGTGTGTGGTATGTGTGTGTGTGTGTGTGTGTGTGTGTGTGTGTGTGTGTGTGTGTGTGTGTGATGTGTGTGTGTGTGTGTGTGTGTGTGATGTGTGTGTGTGTGTGTGTGTGTGATGTGTGTGTGTGATGTGTATGTGATGTGTGTGTGTGTGTGTGTGTGTGTGTGTGTGTGTGTGTGTGTGTGTGTGTGTGTGTGTGTGTGTGTGTGTGAGTGAGGTCTACCTTGTCCCTCCTCCCCGTGGAATATGGTCATGGCCTCCAGGTTGTGTGTGTGTGTGGTGTGTGTGTGTGTGATGTGTGTGTGTGTGTATGTGATGTGTATGTGATGTGTGTGGTGTGTGGTGTGTGTGTGTGTGTGTGTGTGTGTGTGTGTGAGTGAGGTCTACCTTGTCCCTCATCCCCGTGGAACATGGTCATGGCCTCCAGGTTGTGTGTGTGTGTGTGTGTGTGTGTGTGTGTGTGTGTGTGTGTGTGTGTGTGTGGTGTGTGTGATGTGTGTGTGTGTGGTGTGTGTGTGGTGTGTATATATGATGTGTGTGGTGTGGTGTGTGTGTGTATGTGATGTGTTAGGTGTGTGTGTGTGTGTGTGTGTATGTGTGTGTGTGTGTGTGTGTGATGTGTGTGTGTGTGTGTGTGTGTGTGTGTGTGTGTGTGTGTGTGTGTGTGTGTGTGTGTGTGTGTGTGTGTGTGTGTGTGTGTGTGTGTGTGTGTGTGTGTGAGGTCTACCTTGTCCCTCCTCCCCCTCCTCCTCCCCGTGGAACATGGTCATGGCCTCCAGGTTGAGGGCACACACTCCTCTCATGAACGCCTTCTTCATTGCCTCCTCATAGTGCTCCCGCTCCACGTTCATCCGCCCGATCTTTACATGTGCAGCCTCCAGCTCCTCGTTCAGCTGCAAGTGAAGCAACACTGCACCTCACAAGTCTTAACTTGATATTGCATCCTTACACGTTAAAGTTGAAAATAATATCCACTGCAATTCCCACTGGATACAAACAAGTTTCATCTTCAAGAGGCAAGGGAGTTAACTGACTGTAAAAGTCCAGTTTCTGCCCTTGCCGAACTAGGCTGGTATTATGGAGTTACATTTTGGCTGGACTAAAGAGTCTATGCATAGTCCAATCAAAATCGCAAACTGAAATCGAAATCAGGTTGGAAAAGTGTCATGCAGAGTTCAGTTGATTGCAGGATTTGCAAAGCATGTGCATCGCCAACTCGTTGTCAACAGATATTTTCTAAATCTTTTCAAGTTTTTAATCAAGGTGCTTACGTGATTTGATGCACTTCGTGATGTAAGACCCGTTTTATCACAATATAGATCTTGATAGTCAATCAGATCGTCTTGTCTGGGTGCCGCCTTTTTGTTTGAAACAAACGCAAGTGATACGAGAGGTGGAATCTGATTGGTCCATAGGAGAGGCATAGAAAGGACATAACTCAAATAACCACTGGTGGCGCTACAATCGATCCCAGGAATTCCAGCCTAGTTCGGCAAAGGTGGAAACTGGACTTTTATAGTCAGTTAATTCCCTTGCCTCGGGAAGATGACAAGTTTGGATTTTGGCACAGAGCTAATAACATTGTGGCATGTATGTCAGATTATTCTGATATTTCTGTTCGGATAAGAAATATAGCCAGTGTTCAGACAGTTGCTGTCAGGTTTTCTGGGTACAGTTGTCAGCCTGAACCCCAACGAGGTATTAGCGAGGGTCCCCACACTTGGACCAAGTGAACTGGCTCATACATCTCTCTCTTAACATGCGGGCAAGTAAAGCTGTTGACTGAAGTTTACACGTAGAGATTATGATACGAGCATGTGTGACATACTGATTTTACGAAATGAGTGTCAGATTCTTGTATTTCCCGAGCGAGAGCGTGTTTCGTAAAATCAGGATGACACAAAAGCGACTGACGATTTCTTTACTACCCATTATTTCTTTATCATTTTGAGCTCCCCTTTAACAAAATGCACTTATCACGACCACCGTCCACAATATGATTTGAGTGACGTCAACAATGCCGTCCACATGACGTAAACAATACATTGGTGTGCGTGAAGTCATAATGGATGGAACTGGTGCACATACGATTTTTTTAACTCATTTATTTCTAACCCTATGGGTAATAACATAAACCAATACACATTTAGGTTAAAATGGTTAACAGGTCAGGTTTTATATCCCTTGTACCATTTTGTAATCGGGTATTTTTGTTTTCCATTGTGTCGTTTTGTAACCAAGTTGTTCGGAATAAGGCCTTTTTCAAGGATAGAATTTCGGATAGCACCTGATAATATATGTCCTTGTTTGAGTACAAAATACCAAGAGATTCATATAATGTTAACAGTAACACAAACTTCCTACAGATATGGAACACCAAAATTCAAGGTCTTTTCAAGGCTTTTCAAGGCTGCCCACTGTTATTTTCAAAGCTTTTTTAGTTAGGTTATTAGTCTCAGTCAGTCAATATTTTATTAAATCTGGCATACTATACATAAGCATACCAAACATTAGACCAAAGACAAAAAAAGCAGTATGACAATCACAAGATTTATTTTTAACCCAACAAAAAAATAGAAAGTCTGTCGTGAATTATCTAGGATGTTTGGCACACAAATTTATCACTGTCATAAATCTCACTTAAACATCCTTGGTACATATTTTTGGGCCCTTTGGCACTTTTATTAAGTAAATATGTCATTTTGTACAAATTCAAGGCTTTTCAAAGTATTTTGTTGATTTTCAAGGCTTTTCAAGAATAACACAAAGAAATCAAGGCTTTTCCAGAGGGACCTTAAGAATCAAGGCCTTTTTAACCCTGTTACCATTAGCAAAAAAAGGAACAGTATCTATCATGTTCTAGTAGGCAGATACTAGTAGTAACATATTTAACATTGAACTTGCCTCCAATAATTCATAGACCCGTGAAGACCCGGGGTAGAATAGGTCTTCAGCAACCCGTACTGGCCGTAAAAGGTGACTATGCTTGTCGTAAAAGGCGACTAACGGGATCGGGTGGTCAGGCTCGCTGACTTAGTTGGTGCATGGCGTCGATCCCAATTGCTTGGATCGATGCTCATGATATCAATCACTGGATTGTCTGGTCCAGACTCGATTATTTACAGACCGCCTTCATATAGCTGGAATATTGCTGAGTGCGGCATAAAACAACAAACCAACCAACCAACCAATAATTTATAATAAATCAATGTAAGTTTATTATGCAACTATATCTGCATAATTGTAAAGAACAAATATATGATTCTATACAGTAAGCATTCCGGGGAATGAAACAATCTGAGAGTAACGACCCTATTGGGACACAAAACTACAAGGATACAAAAAGACATAGAACCTAAAAAACAAGAATCATTTGTATTAGAAACTACTGCAATTGTCCCAAGGAACTCTGCGCCATTGACCACTAACCTGTCTGATTTTGGCTTCGTATTCATTGGTGAGTTGCAGACACACGTCCTGCGCCTTGGACTGACACGCCTTCTCCACGCGATGACGCCACTTTGTTTCTATGACTGAGTGCCAGGCTGCCCATACCTTAGCCGACAGACTTCTCTCGTAGTGCTTCCTGGCCAGGTTACTGGCAAATGCCTGAAATGGGAGCGAGTCAATCTCATTATAACCAGATCTTAGTTCTGGCTATCGCTAAACAAATATCCCATTAAGGGTCACGTCAGAACTACCTTTCATCCAACCAATCAGAGCGTTGCTTACCAGATCATGAAAGTGACAGTCGGAATGTGTTTTCTAATCATGCAACCACGATATTTTTTTAACACGGGGTATTCCGCACGACAGTTACGGGTTTTATGATTATATCCATACAATCTAGGCCATCTATAAGCCATTCCAGAATGTTCTTCTTATCAGTTTTAAAATTTTTAACTGAGAATACGTCAAAATATGTTTCGAAGCGTAGTCGCCAGTTTGAAACTGGTGTCGTAAAGCTCAAGAAAGCTGCCTTCTGATTGGCTAATGTGGATTACATTTCATTGCTCGGTCAAAATTCGCAAAAGGTTGTTCTGACGTGACCCGTAATGGGATGTCCTCAGATCTTTGTTTAGCGGAAGTTAAAACTTTGATCTGATTTTAATGAGATTGAACAAGAGTAAGCTGTGGTGAACTGTACTCTTGACAGGTGAGGTGGAATAGGGTTTTCAATGCTTTCAACAATATTCCATTGAGTGCATGGACGAATGACGGTTGTATTGTACGAGCCCACTTAGATACCATGCTGCAGTTTTAACATGGATACCCAACTCAGTCCCAGCAGTGTTAGAAATTGGCACTAGTCCTATAGTCCTTGTCAGTCCGTCCGACAGTTAAGGTATCATGAGGACTAGCAACTTGCCAATTTTAAGGGTTTAGCTATAAGTTATCATTATAAGAACTAGTGGACTATAACGGTTAGTTTCTAACCCTGCACAGTATACTAATGTGTCCTAGACATAGATTGATGCTCATGATGTCAATCACTGGACTGTCTGGACCAGTCTGGAATATTTACAGACAGACATCATATAGCTGGAATGTTGCTGAGTGCGGCGTCAAACAACAGACAAACTAAATTAGCTAACTGTTTAATTCTTTGCTTTTCCTTGAGGTAAGCGAAATAATCCACAACGCCCAGGGTATAGTGAAGATTCCGTGTTAGATTAGGTCTCTAGCAACCCATGCTTGTCGTAAAAGACGACTATGCTTGTCGTAAGAGGCGACTAACGGGATCGGGTGATTGGTTGATGACTTGGTTGATGCATGTCATCGATTCCAATTGCGTGGATTGATGCTGATGATGTCAATCACTGGGTTGTCTGGTCAAGTCTTGATTATTTACAGACCGCGGTCATACAGCTGGGAAATTGCTGAGTGCAGCGTTAAAGAAAAACCAAACAAACAAAACCCATGCTTGTCGTAAGAGGCGACTAGCGAGATCGGGTGGTCAGGCTCGCTGAATCGTTTGATGAATGTGATCATATCATAATTGCGTAAATCGATGCTCATGATTCCATGATTCGTGCAGTTTGGACAACATTTACACCAAGAAATGTAATAAGTCAATGGCAAAATTCAATAAGTCAAATAAACAAGATGGCAGATGCAGTAAAATTTCGAAGTTAAATCAGTACTTAAATCGGGCATAGCTTTCGCGCACCTGGCTACCCGCCAGGTCTGGGAGCAATACTGCCATAAACTTAAACCCCCATCCCCCAGACACAAGGACAACTGTCACAAGCGTGCAATGTCTGACCCTTTCCCCATGTTGAAGCATATTGAAAAAAACTTACCTTGTACTTACTTACCTTTTGATGAAAAAAACAAAACTCCATTGCAAACATAAGACATTAATACAACATATATCCCCATGTCATGGGATTTTGGATGCTAAAGAAACATCCATAGTTTTCTAACTAATCACATGAACAACTGTAAAACATCTCATTCACTTACAGGCTAAAAGACAACTTTATCTTAAGCCATCGTGTCGCTCTAAGTATTTACAATTTCTGTGTACCACCACACACTATGTTATATTGCAAGTATTCGTGATAGAAAACGGATGGTGTCCGAAAACCTATGCTAGTGAAAGCTCTGATCGAAAACAGGACAATCCGCGACGGTTGTCCGGTTTTCGATCATATTTTTTTTTTAAACTTTATTAAATTTTTACGCGGAAGATGATTTTTTCCGAGGACTACTGTTTTAAAAAACGGGATTTTCCACGTTTCCGCAGAGATTTCACATCCCTGATGCTCACCTCTCGCTTCAGGTCATTGTGGCGGAGCTTCCACTCGGTGAACTTCTTGAGCATGTCGAACTTCTCCCTCTGTTTGTGCAGGGCGTGGGTGAGGTTGGAGATCACCTGGTCCTTCCGCTCGATGGACTGCTCGTACGTGTGAAGCAGCTCCTTCAGCTTATCGATCTCATTCATCATCTGGTTCTTGTCCGACACAAACCTTAAATACGGACAGGACAAGATATAACGGCTCTCATTGCCCAGATTGGAATAACTTTATTAAACCCTTGGAAGTCTTTCTGTTCATATGCTTATTTCAACACCATCTTCCCGATTCAAAGGAGTTAACTGACTGTAAAAGTCCTGTTCCAACCTAGGATAGAATTTCTGGGCATGATGCTCATGATGTCAATCACTGGGTTGTCTGGTTCGGACTTGATTATTTACAGACCGCTGTCATACAGCTGAAATAATGCCGAATTCTGCATTAAACAACAAACAAACAAACAAACAAACAAAAAGAAACACAAATCACATCAAATCTGGGATTTGAACCCATGAGCATAGGTTCCTGGCACAGCTAAGGAAGGCAACTCTGTACAACAAATCATGGTGCCTTGATATGTGGGCCACCCTTGCCCCTTTGGTTTCTGACACTGATTATAAAGTGCTACATATAAACATAAACGGGCAGTTCCGAATGCAAACAATAAAGGCTGTCCTATAACACAAATGCTCTCAGTACCTTTCCCTCTCCTTCTGCAGTTCCAGTCTGCTCCTCTCAACAATCCGGATCTTGGACTGACCAAATTCAGCCTGCAAGACACAAATAACACAATGAGAAAGTGAAATTACAGGTCAGCTGAACAGGGAGTGTTTAAACACAAGCATTTCTAAACATGGTTAAGGACACAGTGTGAGTGAGTAAAGTTTAAGTATTTTTTGTCCAGGTAGCCATTGGTAAAATCAAGAAGTCAAGCCAATATTGTAGGTAGCCAAAAGCATTTGAAATTATCTTTTATCAAATAACTATTATGATATGCACAGGACATGAAAATGTATATTAGTGGAAACTGTACTTGATTTTTGTTTTTTATGACTCAAACAATGAGTAAATTTATGTTACTAGATCATATACATGATATAGGTATATTATTGTCAACTAAAACAAAATAGTTATTACATTAATATTTATGTATTTCGGTTCATTGTCGACATTTTTAGTGTCGAATTATTTGCGAGTACAATTATTAGCAGACATGTTTTCCAAGATCAGCTGTCATATATGTTTGTGCCTATAGATCAGTAGCAATAGAATTTAGTCACCACAAGATATTTTTCAAGGTAGTCATTTGGCTACCCCTGAATTTTAGACAGTGGATAAATTCAAACTTTGAGGCCTGTGATCATGCTGACAAATCAATTACATTTTAAACTTGGGCATTTGATTTTTTATTACAGTAAACTACAATTATAACGAACAATAAAAAGATTATCCTGGATTCCATTGCATCATAAATAAATTGCAAGTGATTCCGTGAATTTAAATATGAAACATCCGACCAACTTACAAGCACATTTCTTTTGAGGTCAAGCGTCCACTGGTCGAGAACGTTCTCCATCCGGGCAACATCCGGATCTACAGTGGAGGTATAAACGGTCTCTTCTATCACTCGCTCCTCCTCTCTCTCCATCTCGGGGTCGGGGAAGTACGTCTGTCTTGGTGCGGAGTACTGACTTGACACACGTGGAGTTGACTTGTCTGCAGCAAAGTGATGAAGATGAAACAAACTCACAGAGTCAGAAGACCGCCTCCGTGGTCTAGTGGTAGAGCGTCCGCCCGGAGAGCGTCGGCGTCGGCGTCATACCAAAATACGTTAAAAGATGGTACTTGTTGTTACCCTGTCTGGCGCTTGGCATTAAGGGGCTAAAACAAGGACTGGTCGGCTTGGAGTCAGTATACTGTGTCTGAGTGTTAAACTGCGGCATGGTATCTCAGTGAGCTAGCACTATAAATCGGCATCAGTCCAGACTAGTACAAGCAGCCACACACACACACGTACATACACGTCGCTATATAAGTGCAACAATCTTGGACGCGACGTTAAACCCCATTTCACCTCACCTCACTTCACAGAGTCAGGAGTTTGTACGTAGAATTGGCCTACCCCTAATGCCCCCCTTTCACTACGACCACAAATATCCCGAATCGGAAACTTTCAAAATTTGTGATGATTCGGCCAATAATGCAAACTTTCGTGGCTAACCTGGTTGAAAAATATGGAATGGGTTAAGAAACATGTACAAATTCAAAGATTCATGTACGGATCATTCACAAATTGTTAGAATCACCTACGACTTAGTTACAAATATGCCGAATGTTGTTCTTGCTAAATTCTTCTTGCATGATTCGTAGTTGACTCGGGACATTCGTGGCTGTTTCTGGATGTTTTCGGGTTGAGGACAAGAAATTTTGGGGGCCACGAATCCATAAGAATAGCCAAGAATGCAAAAGAATCGACTGTGAAGCTGTTACGGAACATAGGAATTAATTATGAATCGATTACGATACAGCCACGAAATTGCAATTTTGACAAACAAAAACTTTCTCGCCGATTCGACGAACTCCCGCGAACTGTACGAATGTTTGGGAATCAAATAAGATTCATTTAAGAACTGAGGGTATAAGTGGGCATGTTTAATGGAATAGCAGTGTCTTGAGTCACAAATACAGACTTGTGATAGCCGAGTGATGACACAATGCAGTGGGGTTCGATATATCCTGTCAGTGATAAATGATATAACCACCAGTTACGAATGATATATCCCCTAGTTACAAAAGATATATCCAATCAGGATAAATGATATATGCCATCAGTTACAAATGATATATCCCATCAGTTACAATTGATATATCCACCAGTTACAAACAATATATATCATTTTCAATAAATGATATATCCACAGCTACAAATGATATATCCAATTAGTAATAAATGATATATCCCCCAGTTACAAATGATGTATGCCATCAGGTAAAAATGATATATGCCATCAGTGGTGAATGATATATCCACCAGTTACAAATGATATATGCCATCAGTGATAAATGATATATCCACCAGCTACAAACGATATATCCCATTAGCGATAAATGATATATCCACCAGTTACAAATGATATATCCCATCAGTGCTAAATGATATATCCACCAGTTACAAATGATATATCCCATCAGTGATAAATGATATATCCACCAGCTACAAATGATATATCCCATCAGTGATAAATGATATATCCACCAGTTACAAATGATATATCCCATCAGTGATAAATGATATATCCACCAGTTACAAATGATATATCCCATCAGTGATAAATGATATATCCACCAGTTACAAATGATATATCCCATCAGTGATAAATGATATATCCACCAGTTACAAATGATATATCCCATCAGATATACACGACATATTTATTCACGTATAATAGGCACTCGTGTGTTATATGCACCTTAATTATGGGCAATTAAATTCTGGAAAAATGTATCTGTCGCATATAAATATTTCAGTGTGTCAGCATAAACCACGAAATTTATCTTTCAACTCTGTTTTTTCCCCCCAAAATAATATTCTAATAAGAGCCTCCTATTTCTAATTTTGAGAGTGCCCTGGGCGCTTATTACGTCGATTATGGTATATACAGCAAATGGGTAGTACAAAAAAAAAACAGTTCTGAAAAATATGTCAGTTCGTTAAACATGTCACAAGCATGTTTGTTATAAACGTAGTTCACTGTACCTTGTATGTTTATGAAATGTTTATTACGACATATATATTTTTTCAGAATTTAATTGCCCATAATTAAGGGTGCATATAACACATGAGTGCGAATTATACACGAATGAATAAGTCTTGTGTACATTGATCAATCGGAAGGGATGCTAATTGGGATTGTTCACTTGCCAATATATTAGCAAATATTGCCATGGGCGCTAATTAGTGTGGGGCGCTTATTACGTCGAATAGGGAATAAGGATTTTAATATTTTTTTTAAAATGGATATAAAAACAAAACATTGGCAGACTTTATGATGATGCGGGTTGTGACTGAGAACCAAGACTATTTTTTGTTTTAGCCTTACTAAAATACTCTGGAAACAGTAGCGTGCATCCTTCTTGTCATCACATACCTGGCTGTTCCAGTTCAAAGTCATCCTCATCAACATTGTCCCCATCTCTGGAGCCGATTGGACTCTGTCCGAAGTCAGGCATGTTGGATCTGACCTGTGACCCTCCTGGAATGCCCTTGAGCCCTAATTCTGGTTGACCTTTGTCCATTTCAAGATCGGCTGAAACATTTTGGCAGAGATGAACACCAATGTTTGGAAACAATACTACTTTAAAGACGAAGATTTTACCTGTAGGTGCTGGATATTTAAATTTATAAACCTGCAAGACAAGACCTTGACATTGACCTACGTGAAATATAAGTCACGTCTACAAAGCCATCACATTAGTTACAATTAAAGTTCGTTTCAAGGCGTCAATAGCGGTAATCTGACCGTGGTTGCTGTAAATAACGGTGAGTTGTGCAATCCAGCCTACCGATCACTTCGCATACAATTTTGCCTGAATTATTGTAAACATTATAATAATTATTGAATGAAATAATGAATATAATTTTTTAAAAATATTGCAAACATTAGTCCGGATAAACAATGAACATTTTTTTATTACAAGATATTATAATAATCATGATAAGAGGATTAAATTGCGTACTTCAGTTCAGATTTGTTGACTGGTATTTCCGGTGTTACGTGATTGCGGTGATCAGCTGATAATGTTTTCTGAAATGTTGGCTCCAAAATTATTCATGTTAGGAGCCGCTTTACTCCATAACAAAAAAAAGTGTAACTTATAGGACTGTTACATACGGAACATAGGGTCTTGTAAACCAATCAATTAAAAATCAAATGCTTTGTTAAAAATGTAATTGATTTGTTAGTACTTGGGAGACCTAAGGAGCGTTTCCGCATAAGTAATGTCATGTCATTATTCATATGCAATGTTGACAGCCTACAGCCACACCCACCTTGCCCTGAGGTCCTTGTGGGGAGGGTGTTGATGGCGATGCCCCGTCCGGTTGGGGCCTGGGGGAAGGAGGAGTGGGCGTCGGTGATGGTCAGTCGGGTTTTCTTGGGGTCGTAGTTGGGCAAGACGACGGCATACTTCAGCAGCTCATCGTACTCCTCCTGAAGAGAGATGCCGGGTTAGTGAGTCGGGTTTAAAGATGACTGCTGGGATGTGTGTGGCTGTTTCCCAACTCAAACTGATGTGGTAACATGGTCAAGAATGGCTGCAACTACCTATTCTTGTGTTTGTTTGTTTGTTTGTTTGTTTGTTGTTTTACGCCGCACTCAGCAATATTCCAGCTATGTGATGGTGGTCTGTAAATAATCGAGTCTGGACCAGACAATCCCGTGATTGACATCATGAGCATTGATCCACACAATTGGTATCGATGACATGCATCAACCATGTCAGCGAGCCTGACCACCCGATCCCGTTAATCGCTTACGACAAGCATAGTCGCCTTTAACGGCAAGCATGGGTTGCTGAAGACCTATTCTACCCCGGAATCTTCACGGGTCTCATATACTTGTGACAGAATTCACAGAATAAAGGCAACATGTCCAAGATATATAGAGAATATTTCATGTGTCGAGTGAAATATCAATATATTATCATGTTTCTCTCATCGAGTGACGTAGGGGAAAAGGAGATATTCACTCGTGAAAATATCTGCTTTAGCCACGTCACTTAAAGGGAGAAACTAGGCTAGATGTATGAAATAGCCTATTTATCATATTCTTTTTGTGTAGGTGTCTACCGGAAAATGTAATTATTTCATCTTGTTCATTTCAAATGTAAAACCCTGAAATGTAAATCCTTCCTATCGAACACACATCATGCACATGGACAGTTCACCACCCCTTGTAATTGCGACTTAAAAAGTAGTTCCGTGTTTGCACACTCTTCAACAATATAAACAAAATTATCAAAACATATTTAGGGTCACGAAAATTCTTTATCATACATTTAGATATGATAAAAAACAAAATCAACCTTAATTAACAAAAATATTCTTCAAAACTAGAAGGCCGCTGTTGGAAGCGAAAGAATACACAATGGTCAAGCGAAAATAACAATTCTCAACTTCAGAAAACTGGGTCTTTCACACTGAAGTATATATGTGGGTGTGTTGGGGTGTGTGTGGGTGGTGTGTGTGGGGGTGTTAGTAAACATGGTACAATGATACACAGAAAGTTAAGTTTGTTGGAAGAGATCTAGCAAACAGTTTAAACATCAATGAAACTTTAATGGCTTTATTGATAATAGTGACTAGGCAATTACATCCACCTACTCTGCTTTTTTCTGTAATACACACAAGAAAATAACGACCAATTTTTTAATTTTCAACCTTACGCATGCTTAGAAGGATCCCTTACAGATTGGTCTACAAATGTTCCGAGGGCACCTAAATCGTCGATTACGGTATCTCTGTTATATGACAGCACTTACCTGTAACCTTGACGACACAGAACTGCCTGGCGAGTCGGGGGGCAGATGGGGAAGGCTTTCTCCACTGTCTGACATCATATTTGTTGATAAGAGTACTGCAAGTAGAAAAGAAAAATCATGAATACCGTATTCGACGTAATAAGCGCACCGCTCTAATAAGCACCCACGGCGATATTTGTTAATCATGTTAATATACTGGCTAGTGAACAATCCTAATTAGCACCCCTTCCGATTGATAAATGTACACAAGGCTATTTATTCATGCATAATACGTTATATGCACCCTTAATTATGGGCAATTAAATTCCAGAAAAATATATCTGTCGTTTATAAACATTTCAGCATAAACAACAAAATTTACGCTCTTTGAACTCAAAAATATATATTCTAATAAGAGCCCCCTATTTCTAATTTTGAGAGCGCCCTGTGCACTTAGTATGTCGAATACGGTATATCCTTTTCTTTTACAGTAAGAAAGATGCGTAATTTTACTTTTAGCATGTTTAGCTTTATTGTCCTTAACTTTAGAACCAAATGATTTCAGCATATCAATGCTCCAGATAAGCTTTTGGCGTTGTTGGTATTTTACCCATGCATTTTAAAATCATTGGGTATCAGTAATTCTATCTGGGTATTCAAATTTCTGTTACCCACTAGATTTTACACATATTTATGTTAAATATTTAAAAACACTATTCATCTAGTCCCTGCAAACTGCTGTCGTGTGGGTTTGAGAGCTTTATAGAACTCAAAAATACCACGATACTTCCACAAGAAAGTGTGATGGCAAATGATCAGGATGTAACTGTCATCGTGGAGTTTGGCAAAGGTTGACGGAATGCCTGTTTATAATTTCAAACTAAGATAATCAAATATGCGTGGTTACTTCACAATGTTTTGATGATACGCACAAGTTTCATTTTTGTAGCGTATCTGTAATGTTCGTTGCGTATTTGCTACGCTAGGATTTTATTTTACTGCCTGCATTTCTGATGCATATTTTACGTGGATATGCAGCTTATCTGGAGCTCTGTTACAGTAAGTGAGATGCGTAATTTCACTTTTAGCAATAATGCCCTTAATTTTAGAACCAAATGATTTCAACATATTACCGTATACAATGTAATAAGCGCCCCGCTCTAATAAGCGCCCACGGCTATATTTGCTTATATACTGGCTAGTGAACAATCCCAATCAGCACCCCTTCCGATTGATCAATGTACACAAGACTTATTTATTCATGTTAATACGCACTCGAGTGTTATATCACCCTTAATTATGGGCAATTAAATTCTTGATAAATATATCTGTCGTATGTAAACATTTCAAGCCGTTAGCCTAAACTCAACTCAAAATAATATTCTATTAAGCATGATAAGCGGCCCCTATTTCTTATTTTGAGAGCGCCCTGGGCGCTTATTACGTCGAATACGGTAAGCATGTTTAATTACTTTCCAGCTGCAAAAGGAATATGAAAGTGTTCACATTTTCTTGCTGTTTCTCCATCTTCCAGAATTACAGAATATCGGGATATGTTTTTAGTTAACCCCCTTGTTCCCAAACCATTCAGCTATAATACAGACAAACCTTTCTTTTTAAAGTGTAGTTTTATAGAGTTATGAGTCTAATACCACCAAGTTGAGCATGTTGAGTAAAATGTATCGCTGTCTATAAAGCGACCTTGCATATAAGATGCCCCCCTAAAAGCCTTCAAAATTGATGCTAATGTATAAAATTATCTGTAATGCGATCCGAGATGAAGTACATCATCAATGCATATGCAATCCCCAATATTGCAATAAAAACGAGTCTTCTGCGGTTTCAAAATTCAAGTATTATGTATACGCAAAAATGAATTACATCACATCCCTTCAGCAAATTCAGGTAAACTAACAGGTGTAATTTGAGGTAAAATATCACTAGACATCATGAGTTACCATTTAAATTGTATTTCCTGTTCTGCTGGGCATTGTTTTATATGCAGAGATTAAGATTACCATGTGTATTTTCTCATAAACTAAGCCGGGAGTGAGTTAAAATTTAATGTCGCATCAGCATTATTTCAGCCATATAGCGACGAGACCAAGTTTAATGTGTTCACAATTGAACTAAGCTTGCAACAGCTATCAGCTGTACACACGTTCCCTCCCGATCTAGTATTACCCCAAAATACAATTTTAAAGAACTGTTGAGTTTATTCATCCCTTTCATGATTACAATTTCATACTTTTTGACAAAATACATTTTCAAATGACAAATGGGTTAGGAACCATACGGTATAAAATCTTTTCTATTTTTTAAAAATCTATGACATTGTTTCATCTGCACTCAGAAAGAACTCTGGACTTTAGTAGAATGCAGGGATTTAAACAGACCTGCTCAGAGACCAATATGCCATGATATGCAGTCCCATGTCTGCAGCAAATGTCATTAGCATTGATTAGATATTCCTAATTTGAACTAAAGACGTCCCAAGTCATTTTTATACATATAAAATAACTAAGTTTATTGATTTGTAGATGGTAGAGAACATGAGAAAGCACATATCTCATTAATAAAAGGACCATTAAATAGGAAGTTTTAAAATCTTAGTTTTATATAACTGCATTGAACGCAATATTAAAATACGTCAAAATACCCCTGAATTTAAGAAAACAAAAACTTTAAAAAAATCACAATTTCACTTTTTCACAATTTGCCTGCCAGAGGCATTTAGATGCATAGTCTAGAATCCTGGATACATCTCTGAGAATGGTATCAAGGAGTGAATTGCAGCTATATGTAAGAACTGATTAGTGACCAGTAGATTTCAGATAGTAAGAGTATAGTTTTACGCCACTTTTAGCAATATTCCAGCAATATCATGGTGGGGGACACCAGAAATGGGCTTCACACTTTGTACCAATGTGGGCAATCGAACCCGGGTCTTCGGCGTGATGAGTGAACGCTTTAACCACTAGGCTAGCCCACCACCCAAGAGTGGAGGAGTACATCACAGGACATCACTGCATCTCTAGCATTGACAGCAGATTCTGCAGACAGATCTCAGGTGATCAGCTGCTGATGATGTCCAAAATCATTTGGGAACGGAGGACTTCAAATTGTTTTTATAGATACTGGTTAATTGGGAATTTTTCATTGATACATAAATAATTGGTAACAGTATTAGTTACATGAACAGTTGTGATAAATAAGATTGATAAATCATAGTATAATTTTATGAACATGACTGATGCTGATTTTATAATTGTGAAACAGTGTTTTCACTTGTGACATATCAAGGTTAAATCAACAAGCAATCGGTTCGTAACACACTGGTTGGTTGGTTGTTTTTTTCAACACTGACATCTTATTCCCATTCAATAGAATCGGCCTAGATCCCAGACTATCCATGCATCGACTGTCGTCGGCTGTTCAGACCAAGCAGACACAATAACAAACATGAAAAAACATATCTAACAAAAACATGTACCACCATCAACACAAGAAGAGCAAATGTTTCTCTTACAGTTCAAATATGCCATCTTCAACAAAACCGTATCCCTGATAATGTTTCATAAATATTGCAGACATTTATCGAAGCGTACATTCGTGTTCTAACACGTTCTATTTTTACCGCACTGTCAATCGGTTTCATGGAGATTAATGGGATCAAAGGTTTAGATCGGCGGGAATTTTAACACTGTTACGCCTGCGATACCAATATGACACTACTCACCGAGTGACAAGCGACAACTGCGTCTTGGTCAGAGAAAATATCCACAAATCTGACTCAGTAAAATCATCAAACCATCGCCATCTTGTAAACAATGTTTGAAACTGGTCCTAGTATAAGACGAACAATATGATTGGTTAACAATAGATATCAACTGACCTTCTATTGGCCAAAAGCCATATTTCCACAAGCTCCTTACAGATGCAAATATCTTGGTTTTCACAGCAATGTATAGAGCTTCCAACCAGCTCAGAATTAATTTTCTGTTTGTTGTTCAACATTGAATTTCTTAGTAAAACGTCACTTTTGTGCTGAGTCAAAATTGTTTCAGGGTGCATCACCAGTTAAGCTTGCAGCTACATTTAATTGAATATGATGAATTACAAGATTTGTTGGCAGTAGGTAGATATAGGTACCAATAGCTCTAGTAGTTTAACGATTACTACCAATAATTTAGTAAACCAAAGACGTATAGAGATGTATACGTCTTTTGAGTAAACAAATATTCAAAACTCTCAACATCGCTGCAGTAGAAAGCTGACTACTCAAAAGTAAACCATATTTTACTTATATTTTCAAAACAGTTCACTCTCAAATAGGGCGGGGACGGTAACTTGGGTACCCGGGTCGGGTGGGTACTGAGTAGGACTCGGGTACCCACAGGACTACCCGGACCCGTGGTTAGTCACGTGATATATTGTTTCATGACAAAAAAATCACTATAATTATAACTACATGGTTACACGATAATTTTAAGTCTCTATACTGTTCGCATTTCTTTATGACTATGAACACGTTCCTTCTGACTTAAATATGTTTGAACAAAGCTAAAACCTCAGTCAACTTCAGTGTATGCATGACCACATCGTTTTATACATATATCTAAAAACATTCTGCCAGGGCTACTGTCAAACTATTCCCAATCGGATATTTTGTACCTATCTCTTGACACCAACAGCGGGTACCCGGGTAGGGTCGGGTAATAGGGGTGTGGGTACCCGGGTAGTAAATTTGGACTCGTCCCTGCCCTACTCTCAAATAATTTGTAGTCCTCTATACAATCTGATAACAGAAAGTATACGTACATTTGACTTGACCAATTTCCTTGGTTTAACAATGAAATTGACATTTATATTTGTTTGTTTGTTTAACGCTACCCACAGCAATATTCAAGTTATAAGAAAGCTGTCTGTAAATAATCGAGTCTGGACCAGATGATCCAGTCATTGATATTATGATCATCGATCCACGCAATCGGGACACGATGACACGCATTAACCAAGTCAACGAGCCTGACACCCGATCCCGTTAGTCGCCTCTTACAAGCATGGTCGGATTGCAGAGGGCCAAATCTATCTCGGATCTTCACGGGTTAAATGACATTCATGGAATTATGAGATATCTGGCATACCCCTACCTTCTATTTGTCGGTACACTAGCTGTCCTGTGTCATGTTTCTGTTGTATAGGAATAAGTGTTATTGTTTGTTTATTAATGACGCACACGGCAGTAATCCAACTCAACGGCGACGGCCCGTAAATAGTCGCATGATTGATATTATGAGCAATACAACGTCACCGGCGGGGTACGATGACATCCATAACGGAAATGGACAGCCTCCGTAGTCTAGTGGTAGAGCGCCGTCAGTAGAGCGGAAGATCCGGGGTTCGATCCCCGGCGGCGTCATACCAAAAGACGGTAAAAGATGGTACTTGTTGTTACCCTGTCTGGCGCTCGGCATTAAGGGGCTAAAACAAGGACTGGTTGGCTCAGAGTCAGTATACTGTGTCTGAGTGGGGTATCCATGTTAAACTGCGGCATGGTATCTCAGTGTATAAATAGTCCAGACTAGTACAAGCAGCCACACGCACACACACACGTGCATGCACATCGATATATAAGTGAAATAATCTTGGACGCGACGTTAAACCCAATTTCACCTCACCACCAGACGGAATGAGTTATCTCGTTGCCTATGAGTTGTTTGTAACAGATCATATATAATCTATTATATGGTCTCTGTAAGTATGATAAATATATTTCAAAATTATGCAAATTGCAAAACTTTCGGTCCAGTCTGTGACTATATCCAGAGATCGACCATATATACCGATACAGCAGTAGAAACTAATATTTTTAGTCCACTAGTCCTTATAATGATAACAAATAGCAAAACCCTTTAAATGGCAAATTTCTAATAGTTCTTATATGATACCTTAACTATATTGGGCAGTTTGGTTTAAATGGCCTCCTATGACTAATGTCAGTTACTAAAATCTCTCTCTCTCTCTCTCTCTCTCTCTCTCTCTCTCTCTCTCGCAAATAACTTTAATTTACTACATATACCTTCATAAAAATTATGTTGCACGAAGTGTCTCTTTAAAAGTGACGTGATACACACCAGGCTCCATACAGAGATGGCACCACTCGCTTGCCTTATACCTTCTCAATGTAAAGCAGTTAGCACGCAGAGGAGAGAGTACAACGGACGCCGGCAAACAAGAACTAGGTACCGTCTAATTAAATCACTGAGAAGCGCAATATTAACAGCGCGGATACCAACATAACCAGTTCGAGACACCTGCTGGCGGAAGTAGCAGTCAGTGTACTTGCACACAACAAGAAAAATGGGTGGTCTCTTCGAAATGGACTTTTTGGACGATGTCCGACGCATGAATAAGAGACAGGTTTGTTTACATCGTAATTAATTACAAGGGCTACGCACTCCTGTGACATTAGTATGATCTGGGTGGTATTTGTAGGTGCATCAACTCCACACAAACCGGCATCTGTCCCTTCACACACGTGTAACACACGGATTGGCATATATACAAACATATGGCCGAATTTTGGTGAAACTTTACATATGTTAAGATTTTCTGTCGCTGTTATGTCATTGAACAGTAATGGTGAAATGCATATGGTTTATGAATGTAAGCTGATTGTGATTTGGAACGAAGCGAAGTTCAAATTTGGAGTTTTAGAAACATATGTCACCTAAAGCAGATGGACAGGGAAGTTGAAATCTTAATTAAAATGGCTCAGATCATGCAGATAGTCATTAAGATTTGTTTATGAAGTGATTTGGCATTGTAAATCTTATTGCTTACACTGAACACTAAACACCTTGACATACTGAACACTGTGATACTGATCTATTCGGGTTATAGCTAAAACGGCACCTGGCGAAAATGGCACCGATTGGCGAAACGTAGCCTTGCTTCAAGCAAAAACGACTACTATTGCCTGGCAAAAACGGTTTACATTAGAAATTAGCCTCTACTACAACTATATTCCTACTTAACCTATGTACGCAACTCAACTTATTGTGAAAACATAACATGCCTTGAAGTAAAATAAATGAAATTAAACTCACATGGTCTCTTACAAACACCAATAATTGTGAAAAGTTTACATTAGAAATAAGCCCCCTGAGTCAGCTACTATCACAATGCTCGGTGGTACATGGGCCGATATTGTAAACTGTGATGAAGATGAAAACTGTGAAGAACTATATATAGTCTGGAAAGACATTTAAGGTACTGACATTTACTACAATATCTGACTTACTATCGGACCTACTCCAGTCAAAGTTGGTAGGAGATTATTAAACAGTCATACATAACAGGATATCACATTTAAAGACAATCGGTGCATGAATAAAGAATCTGTCAATTTAGCTATCTCTATATATATTTCATCAACAACCAGACCTGTTCGTCACGGGGGATTCAAATCTGGACTGAGGGCAGGCCAAGGCATGATTTGGATGTTGTGCTGCTGGAGGAAGTCCCTGGTGACTCTGGCAACATAAATCGATTTTATTGTTATTAAAAACAGAGGTGCCGTTTTCGCCCGTCACATAGTAGCCGTTTTCGCCAAATGCTGTGCCGTGAAGAGTGAAGTGAAGAATTCTAACACGCGACGTCCATTAGGTATCACTACATGCACTAAGAGCGCGATGTATTCCTTTCCCCAAGCCCATTTGCACAAGACCCGTGAAGATCCGGGGAAGAATAGGTCTACAGCAACCCATGCTTGCCGTATAAGGCGACTATGCTTGTTGTAAAAGGCGGCTAACGGGATCAGGTGGTCAGGCTCGCTGACTTGGTTGATGCATGTCATCGTATCCCAATTGCATCGATCGATGCTCATGTCAATCACTGGATTGTCTGATTATTTACAGACTGCCGCCATATAGCTTGAATATTGCTGAATGCGGTGTTAAACAACACACAAACAAAAGCAAAAAGTAAACTAGGCCTCGCTGTAGGTGAATTCATAAACGAAACCAATTCATAGCCATGGAGACTTTGTAGCCACTCCCTACTTCTGTAGACAAAACAAATACAATTAAGAAATAGAACTGAATAATGATTTATTACTGATTACATATAAATATTGCTTTATTACGCAGCAAATTATAATTTGCTGCATTATGACATTGCATGGTGTGATATGCAAGTTCTGCCAGTCATCTTTTATAAAGATAGATGCAGAAGCTCTTATAAATCTACTTCTCAACTTGGATCTATGGGTAATGCCTTACTCCACTCACCATCTGTCCTTCTCGACTTGGACTGACTGATGATGTATTTATTTGTTATGAGGAGGGGGGGGGGGGGCACGGGTGGCCAAGTCGTCTAAGGCGCCGCGATTCGCTGTGCAGAGTTGCGTCCCTTGGGCACGCCAGAAACCTATGATTGTGGGTTCGAATCCCGGTTCGCCCCGATTATGTTTCCAGGTTTGTCAGCACCATACCTGTGCTCGTGGGTTTCACCGAAGTGGTAAACGTCTAAGACCTGCATCACTTCGGGCTTTCCTCCGACATTAAGCTGACACGCCGTGATATAACTGGAATACTGTTAAAACGGCGTTAAACCCAACTCACTCACTCACTGTTATTAGGAGGGGGTGTCCTATGTTTGATAACTCTTTCCTAATCCTTTTCTATCAAATCAAAATAATAGTGGAGTAAAATAGTAATTATCATCATTCAATTCCAATATCATGAATATATAAAATGGGTCTACAAATTCACTCCCGGTTTGTTTACAAATTCACCATATTGTGTCTAGCGTTGCTAGTGGCTACGAATTCACCTTTTCCCAGCCTAAGCCTGTATGAACGTGATGAATATCTGTTTGAAATTATTTATGTATGTTTCATGGTTAATGCAAATCTTTTGGTGATAAACACTACAGAATCATAAATGAATAGAAGCTGTGAATATATTATCTAATATTATCTATATATAGAGTAAAGTCAAAACGGCCAAAGTCAAAATGAAAGCGGCCATGAACTTGTTGAAGAAAGTAAAAATCGCCACACAGAAAAAGGAAGACCACAAACTGAATTATTGTGTCACAATAAAAACAGTTAAAAGTGTCCTCATTAGAATCAAGACCCGTAAAGATCCGGGTTAGAATAGGTCTTCATGCTTGCCGTAAAATGTGACTATGCTTGTCGTTAGAGGAAACTTTTGGGATCGGGTGGTCAGGCTCGCTGACTTGGTTGATGCATGTCATCGTATCCCAAATTTGTGGATCGTTGTTCATGATGTCAGTCACTGAATTGTCTGCTCCAGACTCGATTATTTACAGACCGCCGTCATACAGCTGGAATATTGCTGAGTGCGGCGTTAAACAACAAACAAACAAACAAACAAGAAGTTTACAATTACAACCAACCATGAAGATCCGGGGTAGAATAGGTCTTCAGTAACCCATGCTTGTCATAAGATGCGACTAACAGGATTGGGTAGTCAGGCTCGCAGACTTAGTTGATGCATGTCATCGATCTAAATTGCATGGAACAATGCTCATGATGTCAATCACTGGATTGTCTGGTCTAGACTCGATTATTTACAGACTGCCATCATGTAGTTGGAATGTTTCTGAGTGCAGCGTTAAACAACAAACAAGAAATACTGCTGAAGGAGGCAATGAGCCCAACCCACTCACTGCATTATCTAATTTTGTTTCACATTGTCTCATACATCTGTTTTTTGTTTCAGCTGTACTACCAGATTCTCAATTTTGGTATGATAGTGTCCTCGGCCCTGATGATCTGGAAGGGTTTGATGGTTGTGACTGGCAGTGAAAGTCCCATCGTTGTCGTTCTCAGGTGAGTGAGTCTTTCAGCGGTTATTGTTAGTTGTACCACTAGTAGCATTGTTACACCAGAGTGAGTGAGTGAGTGAGTGAGTGAGTATGGTTTTACACCGCTTTTAGCATGTTTAGCAATATTCCAGCAATATCACGGCGGGGGACACCAGAAATGGGCTTCACACATTGTACCCATGTCGGGAATCGAACCCAGGGCTTCAGCGTGATGAGCGAACACTTTAACCACTAGGCTACCCGACCGCCTCTGTTACCAGAACAACCTTGACCTGTGAACTTTGTAGTTCAAGATGGCGTACAGTAAATTTCCCATCTTCTCGAGGCAAGAGAGTTAACCAACTTTAAAAGTCCAGTTTCCACCCTTGCCGAACTAGGCTGGTATTATTGAGATACCTTTTGGCTGGACTAACGAGTCTTTGCATAGTCTAATCAAAATCGCGCACCGAAATCGAAATCCGGTTCGTAAACTATCGTGCAGATTTCGGTCGATTGCAGGATTTGCAAAGCATGTGCACCACCAACTTGTTGTCAGCAGATATTTCCAAATCTTATCATGTTTTTAATCAAGGTGCTCACGTGATTTGATGCATTTCGCGATGTAAGACCCGTTTTATCACAATATAGATCTTGATTATCGATCAGATCGTCCTGACCGGGCGCCACCATTTTGTGTGAAGCACTGGATTGTCTGGTCCAGACTCGATTATTTACAGACCGCCGTCATATAGCTGGAATATTGCTGAGTGCGGCATTAAACAACAAACCAACAACCTTGGACATTGATGTTATTGTGGTGTTCCTTGGACTGATGTTATTGTGGTGTTCCTTGGACTGATGTTATTGTGGTGTTCTTTGGACTGATGTTATTGTGGTGTTCCTTGGACTGATGTTATTGTGGTGTTCCTTGGACTGATGTTATTGTGGTGTTCCTTGGACTGATGTTATTGTGGTGTTCCTGCAGTGGGAGTATGGAGCCGGCGTTCCACCGAGGTGACCTGCTGTTCCTCACCAACTACAAGGAGGAGCCCATCCGTGTGGGGGAGATCGTGGTGTTCAAGGTGGAGGGCCGAGACATCCCCATCGTACACAGAGTCCTGAAAGTGCACGAAAGGTAAGTGATGCTGGTCCTTCTTCATCCTCCAAAATGTACAGGGATCAAGATTTTTTTTGAGCATTGATCATTTACTCACATGTTATCAGTCACACTGGGTAGTGAAAGTGTTCAATATACCTTTAGGGGGCATGGGTGGCGCCGTGATTCGCTGTGCAGAGTTGCGTCCCTTGGACACGCCAGAAACCTATGATTGTGGGTTCGAATCCCGGTTCGCCCCGATTATGTTTCTAGGTTTGTCAGCACCATACCCGTGCTCATGGGTTTCTCTGAAGTGGTAAACGTCTGAGACCTGCATCACTTTGGGCTTTCCTCCCACATTAAACTAACTGGAAAAATGTTATAAGCAGCGTTAAACCCAACTCACTCACTCGCTCAATATACCTTTACACTAATGACAAAACATTTTCCTCAATAATTCTGCTTATAATGTTGTTTCAAGTGACTTGTAATTTATATCTGTTGGTATACTGCCCTAAGTGTGCAAGCCTCAAAGTTATTCTGAACAAAGAGTTACAGTTACAGCCTGTACGACTGATTCCGTCAAAATTATCGTCTGTCTCTTGCTTCCGTGGGATAAACATTTGAACGGAGGAGGCTTTGCACAGTATGTGGGAAACACTGCCATGCAATCTCAACCATATATTAGACATTCCGCTATGTTCGTTTGTTCAGTTTTCAAAATTTTAATCGAGAACTGTGTCAACCTAGTTTTCAAGCGTAGTCTGAAATGGAAGTCGCCAGGTTGAAACGAGTGCAGTAAAGCTTGAGAAAGCTGCTTTCTAATTAGCTGATGTCGACTTCTTGTTAGTCATTACATTGGTCGGTCAAAGTTCGCGGAAGGTCGTTCTGACGTGACCCGTAATGGGATGTCCTCAGATCTTTGTTTAACGGCAGCGAGAACTAAGATCCGATTTTAATGAGATTGGGGGTAGCCAAATGACTACCTTGAAAAATATCTGGCGACTAAATTCCATTGCTACACATATGTAGACACAAAAATATACATTTCTGCTACTAATTGTACCTGCAAATAATTCCTCCTAAAGTCAGAAATGAACCGAAATGCACAAATATTAATGTAATTAGTATTGTATTTTATTGCTTTTTAGTTGATAGTTTATTGGATAAGCAAGGTTCTAATATAATCTAGTAACATTAACTGTGTCATTGTTAGTGGGGGAGGTCGGGTAGCCTAGTGGTTAAAGCGTTCGCTGGTCACACCGAAGACCCGGGTTCGATTCCCGACATGGGTACAATGTGTGAAGCCCATTTCTGGTGTCCTCCGCCATGATATTGCTGGAATATTGCTAAAAGTGGCGTAAAACCATACACACTCACTCACTCACTCATTGTTCGTGTCACAAGTAACAAAACTCAAGTACATTTTCCACTGATATACAATTCCAAGACTAATGCTATGACTTGTACATCTAATAGTTATTTGATAAAAGATAATTTCAAATGCTTTTGGCTACCTACAATATTGGCTTGACTTCTTAATTTAACCACTGGTTACCTGGAAAAAAAAATACTTGTAGCCATATGGCTACTTGGTAAAAATTTAAACTTTGAGGCCTGAAGTGTGTTGCATAGTGCATAAACTAACAACAGCGATATACATGGTAAAATTAACAGTAAGCAAGACGGAGCACCTTCTCTGTGTATGATTTACTGCAGTAAATTCATGTATTTGTGATGCCTGCATTCAAATGGTGAATAAAGATAAATTTGGTGTTGTTAGACTACCATATTCGACGTAATAAGCGCCCACGTCGATATTTGCTAATATATTGGCTAGTGAACAATCCCAATTAGTACCCTTCTGATTGATCAATGTAGACAAGACTTATTTATTTGTGTATAATACAAACCGTGTGTTATATGCACTCTTAATTACGGGCAATTAAATTCAGGAAAAATATATGTCGTGTATAATACGCACAGATTTCTCTTTTGTATCATTTCAGGCTGTAAACATAAACCACAAAATTTGCGATCTTTCACCAAAATTTTATTCTAATAAGAGCCCCCCCGTTTCTAATTTTGAGAGGGGGCACAGTTGGCCCAGTCATCTAAGGCGCCATGATTCGCTGTGCAGAGTTGCACCCCTTGGACACGCCAGAAACCTATGATTGTGGGTTCAACTCCCGGTTCGATTATGTTTCTAGGTTTGTCAGCACCATACCCGTGCTCATGGTTTCTCTGAAGTGGTAAACGTCTGAGACCTGCATCACTTCGGGCTTTCCTCCCACATTAAGCTGACACGCTGTGATATAACTGGAATACTGTTAAAAGTGGCGTTAAACCCAACTCACTCACTCACTCACTCACTCCGAAGTGGTAAACGTCTTAGACCGGCATCACTTCGGGCTTTCCTCCCACATTAAGCTGACACGCTGTGATATGACTTGAATACTGTTAAAAGCGGTGTTAAAACCAAACCCACTCACTAATTTTGAGAGCACCCTGGGCGCTTTTTACGTCGAATACGGTATTGAGTTTTGGAAACTTTTCATGTGCATTTGTACAAAAGCATAAATGTCCATCTGGGCCTAATGAAAATGTCAAGGCAAATACCTACATCAGAGATTCTCAAAGTGACTGTTTAGTGTTTACTCCAAAGATTCAATTAGGGTTGGCATCTCAGCTCACTGAATAAGGGGATGTATCTCTTGTCAAATTAGGACATTTGTGGGATGTCGGTTGTATATTCTGTTAAACAAAACTGTAAAATTTGTTGTCATAAGAGATTTAATGAAGTTGTTTGAACTAGATTTTGTTTTGGTCACTCTGCACTTAACGCCTACAGGGTGGTCGGGCAGCCTAGTGGTTAAAGCATTCGCTTGTCATGCCGAAGACCTGAGATATTGCTGAAATATTGCTTAAGGCCACGTAAAACTATGCTCACTCAGTCACTCACTCACTTTTCAGGGCATTATCATTTGCAGAAGTCTGAGGTCTTCCATTAACCACCCGACGAATGAGGGCAGTTGAAAAGATCAAGGGCCTGAAAAATAGCATTACCGTTATTATAACTAAAATGGATGGAATTTGTTATCAAAAAAAGCTAAACAACCATATTGGTTTGGAAACAGTTACTGCGATCAACACAAATTTCACTGACCCACTTTATGGAAACGTCATAGAACAAACCAGATGACGTATCTATTGAACCTGACGTCACCTTTTCCTATCCCCATGGCTCTATAATGGCCGTCAAGCAATATAGGGGCATTATCAAGTTACAGTGACCTGCTCATTTCCGATAACATGCGGGCGGTATAATGGTAATTCTATCCATTTGAGTTATAATTAGGAGTATCCCCTTTGTGTGACAAATGCAGCAATTCACGCCTGAAAGAGTTCAACATTACCTGTTGGAATGTCGTCGTTATGTTACACTGAAAACATTTCTATAGGGTTCGATTAAAGGGCAATGCTGACATATGTCTTGTTTGTTTGTTGTTTAACGCCGCACTCAGCAATATTCCAGCTAGATGACAGTGGTCTGTAAATAATCAAGTCTGGACCAGACAATCCAGTGATTAACACCATGAGCATCGATCCACGCAATTTGTATACGATGACTTGCATCAATGGAGTCAGCGAGCCTGACCACCCTATCCTGTTAGTTGCCCCCTATCGACAAGCATAGTCGCCTTTTACGGCAAGCATGGGTTGCTGAAGACCTATTCTACCCCAATCTTCCAATGCAATTGAGATGCGTTATCATTCATCAAACAAGTCAGCGAGCCTGACCACCCGATCCCGTTTGTCGCCTCTTACGACAAGCATAGTCGCCTTTTACAGCAAGCATGGGTTGCTGAAGACCAGGATCTTCACATGATAGAAATAGAAAAAAACGTTAAATGTAAATATATGTATCGCTTTTGAGTCAACACGTTGTCACACTAACATGTTTGTTGTTATCAGACAAGACGGCACAGTGAGGTTCTTGACCAAGGGAGACAACAACTCGGTGGATGACCGAGGCCTGTACGCCCCGGGACAGCTGTGGTTGGAGAAGAAGGACGTGGTGGGCCGAGCCCGAGGGTGAGTTCACGTCACTGAATGATCTCGTGAAATAAGGTGAGGTGAGGTGGAATGGGGTTTAACGTCGCGTCCAAGATTATTGCACTTATATAGCCATGTGCGTGTGTGTGTGTGTGGTGTGGTGTGGTGTGGTGTGGTGTGGTGTGGTGTGTGGTGTGGTGTGTGTGGCTGCTTGTACTAGTCCGGACTGATGCCGATTGATAGTGCTAGCTCACTGAGATACCATGCCACAGTTTAACATGAATACCCCACTCAGACACAGTATATTGCGCACAGGCAACAAGTCAGATGAAGTTAAGCAAAGTCGGTCTCGGAGAGTAGTTGGATGGGTGACCACGTTCAGCAGCTTGACTGTCCTGCCCCACTTAAGCACATGTACCACATGTGGTGTCTACTTAGGCAAGTGACTTTGTTCGAAATGTGCCTCTGTTCACCCAGCAGCGAGTGGGTACCCGGTAGGATGAGATGGTAATGTGGCTGTCAACCTTCTAGCGCCTCACAGGCAGCTTGGGTTGTATACTCCCCAGGGAGCTGAGAATGAAAATCGAGTGCTCACTGATCCATTGACTTGGTGAATGGAATCTGGCATATTATAAATGCACAATTATTATTATAATTATTATTATTATTATTATTATTATTATTATTATTATTACAGTCTTAAAAATTTGTCATAGCTACTTGTGGTGCTTCGATTGAGCTTGGAAATTCCAGCCTAGCTCGGCAAGTGTGGAAACTGAACATTTATAGTCAGTTAGCTCCCTTGCCTCGGGAAGATAGATCTTGGCTTCAATGAAGGAAAGCCTTTTCATTCCTTGTCCCACTTTCACTCAACATTGAAGTTCATGCGCTGTTTCTTTGTTTCAGATTTGTGCCGTACGTCGGCATAGTAACAATATTGATGAACGATTATCCAAAATTTAAGGTATGTATAAGACACAGAATTGTGAAAAGAGATACTTAATTTACAAATACTTGCTTGGCTCCTGAGAGTTTCTAGGGCTTCGGTCCTGCCCTACAATGAAGCACGTGTAGCCTTGCTTGGTGTCTCCTTAAGCAAGTGATTTTGTTGGAAATCTGCCTCTGTTCACCCAGCAGTAGATGGGTACCCGGTAGGATGTGACTGTACTGTTAACCTGCCTCAGGCAGTTTGGGTTGTATACTCCCCAGGGAGCTGAGAATGAAAAACCAAGTGCAGACTGATCCACTGGCCGGGCAAACAAATACAGTGTTTCGATGCTGTACAATTTATGGTTTGGCCGGGCAAACAAAATTACAGTTGTTATTTAAGCTGGAATATTGGAAATTGTGGCGCAAAACAATCTTCACTCACTTATGTAACAGATTAAGAGTCAACTGTTGTAATAGAAGAGAGGAGGGATCTGTTAACAAAAATGGTGGAAAAGAAATTGTCCAGAGGTTTTACAGGTTATGCAGGGGTAGATTTAACAACACATTTGTATGTAGCCAGCACAATCTCAGTAAAATCAGATCTTAGTTCTAGCAACCGCTAAAAAAGATCTGAGGACATCCCATTAGGGGTCATGTCAGAACAACCTTTCATCCGACCAATCAGAACGTCACTTACCAGATCATGAAAGTGACAGTCAGAATATGATTTCTAATCATGCAACCTCGAAAACTTTATGGAAGATAGTTACGGGCTTAACGACTGAATCTATACAATCTAGACCATATATTAGCCATTCGAGAATGTTCTTTTGTTCAGGTTTAAATATTTTTAAACGAGAATTTGTCAAAATATGTTTCGAAGCGTAGTCGCCAATTTGAAATTAGTGCCTTAAAGCACGAGAAAGCTGCCTTCTGATTGGCTAAGGTCGACTTCTTGCCAGTAATTCCATTGGTCGGTCAGAGTTCGCGAAAGGCGGTCTGACGTGACCCGTAATGGCAAGTCCTCAGATCTTTGTTGAGCGGCAGCGAGAACTAAGATCTGATTGTAATGAGATTGGTAGCCAGCAGTGCTTGCTCCTTTCAACAAACTAACTGACCCGAAACTAGATGCTAGAGGCCATGACCGAGTTACCCAGGGAGATTGCACTCTGAGATATATCTTGGCTTCCATATGCTTCATTTTGTGGCGACCGCCTCCATGGTCTAGTGGTAGAGCGTCCGCCAGGTGAGCGGAAGGTCTGGGGTTCAATCCCCAGCTGTGTCATACCAAAAGATGTTAAAGATGGTACTTGTTGTTACCCTGTCTGGCGCTCGGCATGAAGGGGCTAAAACAAGGACTGGTCGGCTCGGAGTCAGTATACTGTGTCTGAGTGGGGTATTCATGTTAAACTGCGGCATGGTATCTCAGTGAGCTAGCACTAGCTCGGCATCAGTCCGGACTGATACAAGCAGCCACACACCCCATTTCACCTCACCTCATTTTGTGGCAATTTCCACCTAGATGAAGCCCGTGAAGATCCGGGGTAGAATAGGTCTTCAGCAACCCATGCTTGCCATAAAAGGCAACAATGCTTGTCGTAAGAGGCGACTAACGGGATCGGGTGGTCACGCTTGCTGACCTGGTTGATGCATGTCATCGATCCCAATTGCGTGGATCGATGTTCATGTTGTCAATCACTGGATTGTCTGGTCCAGACTCAATTACTTACAGACCACCGTCACATAGCAGGAATATCGCTGAGTGCGGTGTTAAACAAAAAACAAACTAACAAAAAAAGCCAAGATGATCTTTGAGTTTACAGCTCACACAACTCATCCCCCCAATCATTTTCTCATCGAAATTACATGATTAACGAGCAGTGCCAAAATTAAAAAATAAACAAACACAAAGAAGGGGAGAAATTTTGACAAGCCAGACAGGCCTTCTGCTTTTTGTTTCAGCAAGCCTTTCGTAATTTTACGGGGCCACGGGTGGCCCAGTCGTCTAAGGCGCTGCATTTGCTGTGCAGAGTTGCGTCCCTTGAACACGCCAGAAACCTATGATTGTGGGTTCGAATCCTGGTTCACCCCGATTATGTTTCAAGGTTTGTCAGCACCATACCAGTGCTCGTGGGTTTCACCGAAGTGGTTAACGTCTGAGACCTGCATCACTTCAGGCTTTCCTCCCACATGAAGCTGACACGCCGTGATATAACTGGAATACTGTTAAAAGCGGCGTTAAACCCAACTCACTCACTCACTCATAATTTTACTTGCCAATGGGAAGCAGTTAAATTGACCCCTGTTTTGTGTTTAATGTCCCTAAAACATTGCTTGATGGTCACTGATGATCATGTTGATGTCATTTTGAGATGATGTTCATGTCATGATATTCCTTTCTTCTTCTTTCAGTATGCTATTTTAGCATGTCTTGGGATCTTCGTGTTGATACATCGAGAATGATCACGTGACCTCATCAGCCAATCACCAGTTATTTCATCTCGTTGAGGCGTGTGTGGATGTAACCGTTTCTATGTTCAACAATGCTGCTACATGACTTGTTATCGACAGCCTGGATTGGAAATTTTATGTTTAATCTTAAGTTTGAGTAATCATGAACTGCTTGCTTGATTGATACACATCATGACGTTAGTGTGAATGGGTAAATATTTAACGTATTTGACGTATGTTTTGCCAGAGGTGTCCTCCCATTGCTACACATGCTATTTGTCACGCGCTATTTGTCACACAAACCTTAAAACTACAAAGGACCGGGTTGACAAAACGGACAATCCCCTAGCTCTAACCGGACTGTTAGTGTAGAGGGGGCAAGGGTGGCCCAGTCTCTAAGGCGCCGCGATTCGCTGTGCAGAGTTGTGTCCCTTGGGCACGCCAGAAACCTATGATTGTGGTTTGAATCCCGGTTCGCCCTGATTATGTTTCTAGGTTTGTCAGGACCATATCCTTGCTTGTGGGTTTCACCAAAGTGGTAAACATCCAAGACCTGCATTATTTCGGGCTTTCCTCCCACATCAAGCTGACACGCCATGATATAACTGGAATAATGTTAAAAGTGGCGTTAAACCCAAGTCACTCACTCACTCACTGTTAAAATACCATAATCCAGACAAAACACACTAGATTGTTTGTCCAGACTTGGTTATTTACAGACCTCTGTCATATAGCTTGAATATTGATGAGTGCGGCGTTAAACAACAAACAAGAACCAGATTGTTAAGAGCATCTTTATATGTTTATCAATTCATCACTATACATATATTACAATATGTTGAATATTGAAATGCAGTTACATATTACATAATTGCAGATCATGTGGGCTAATTCATCACTATTCATCACTATATTATTTTACAATACTTGAATATTGATATACAGTGACGTGTTACATTTTTTTGTCTGTCTGGGTTAAGCAGATGACCAAAAGCATCCTAGTACTGGAGCAGGTCTTTTAGGCATCTGACCGCCTCCGTGGTCTTGTGGTAGAGCGTCCGCCTGGAGAACAGAATGTCCAGGGTTTGATCGCCGGCCGCGTCATACAAAAAGACGTAAAAAGATGGTACTTGTTGTTACCCTGTCTGGCACTTGGCATTAGGGGCTAAAACAAGGACTGGTCGGCTCGGAGTCCGTATACTGTGTCTGAGTGGGGTATTCATGTTAAACTGCGGCATGGTATCTCGGCATCAGTCCAGACTAGTACAAGCAGCCACACACACACATGCACGTCGCTATATAAGTGCAATAATCTTGGCAGGACGTTAAACCCAATTTCACCTCACCTCTCCTCTTTTAGGCATCTGGTGCAGTCTTATTAGTAAGTGGGATTATGCCATTACAATATTCCAGCAATATGACGGCTTCCTGTAAATAATGGAGTCTGGACCAGACAATCCAGTGATTGACAACATGAGCATCGATCCACACAATTGGGATCGATGACATGCATCAACCAAGTCAGCGAGCCTGACCTCCCGATCCCGTTAGTCGCCTCTGACGACAAGCATAGTCTCCTTTCACGGCAAGCATGGGTTGCTGAAGACCTATTCTACAGGATCTTCACAGGTCACTAAAGTAGGTGTTGTCTAACTTGACCACCATATTCACTGTGTGACAAATGGCAACATCGGAGTGTGTGACAAATGGCATGTGTGACTAATGGGAGAGACCTTGCAATATGACCCTAAAGTTAGAGTAAGCAAAAAAATGACATCTTCTTGAGGCAAGGGAATTAACTGACTATGAAAGTCCAGTTTCCATCCCTTCCAAACTAGGTTGGAATTATGGAGTTATATTTTGGCGTTATTGACGAGTCTGTGCAGTCCAGTCAAAATCGTGTAACAAAATCAACATCCGGTTCATCAACTGCTGTGCAGATTTCGGTCGATTATGGATTTGTAAAGCATGTGTACTATTAAAATGCCATGAACATTAATTTTCCAAATCTTTTTTCGTTTTTACTCATGGTGCAATTCACAATGTAAGACCAGTTTTATTACAATATAGATCTTGATTATCACTCAGGTCCTCTTGACTTTTTGTTTGAAGCAAATGCAAGTGATATGAGAGGTAGAATCTGATTGGTCAATAGGAGAGACATTGAAGGGACGTAAGTCATAATATCCAATGGTGGCGCTACGATCAAGTCCAGACATTCAAGCGTAGTCTAGTTCGGCAAGGGTGGAAACTGGACTTTTATTGTCAGATAACTCCCTTGCCTCGGGAAGATGGAAAACTTAGTAGTGCTTGAAGAACACATATTAAGTGGCATTTAGAAGCTATAGCATCCGTGAAGACTGGGTGGACGTCTTTGTTCTTTCAGTGTAATGTTTCCATACAATGATTGTACCTTCATCAATGACTTGTACTCAAATGTTGTATTGGAAGAGTAAGGGAGTTAACTGTCTTCATTGAACAACTTGAATCACACTTGCTAGAACTTAAAATTTGCCAGAGCCTAGTGCTCTTTCCTTTAGTTGTAGGAAAAGTCAAGGAGAGAAATCATTTGATTTGAATTACATTTTAAAAAAAGTTTGAAATATGGTGGTTTGGGAAGAAAAGCTGTGTATCTCTTCCTTGTTAGAATGATATCCCTTTAACGATTCAAGGATGGAAATACCGGAGAATAGGTGCGTAATGATACGGAAGGCCATGATACGATACCTACCTTGATACACTAGTCATGATACGATACATATCTCGATACACATGAAAAAAGTCCTGAACTGAAATTCTCGTCATTAAATGCTCATGTATTACAGATGGGTGAAAAGTTGAAGACAGACTGTATCTTCTTTTTAACTGTTCTGGGTCTGTCCCAAAAAGTCCCGAAATGATCCCAAACAGCTGATATGAAGGACGAGGATGCCTTTTCAGCTCACATTTATTCCTATATCTTTGGTCTTCGCGATAAGGCTGAAATATTGCCGATGTGACACTAAACATTAACTCACTCTCTCCTATTTCTTTGGGGTTATTCTTTCATTAAAATAAAAATAAGTATTTTGTATCATCATGTATCGTGATACACAGGACTATGTATCGTATCAAAGGCCACATATTCGGGTGCATCAGAGTTATGGAGTATTGATTCGCAGTTACATGACGACTTAATTGAAGATGGTTCCAAGGTTGTCATGGTAACGAGATGAAGATAGTCTTCTGGCTTGAAGCCCTATGGTGAAGGTGATGCTATTCTGGGCGAGAAGACTGTTTTGTTGTATGTCTGATCATGTGTGTGGAGGGAGCCAATTTAATGTTGTATTTTATTTTTCTTAAACAGACTGTTCAAGCCTTCTGTTGCATTTACTGATATAACAGTAACTGGATGTCTACATAATCTGTGGGGCGGGTAGCCTAGTGTTAAAGCGTTCGCTCGTCACAAAGACTCGGGTTTGATCCTCGACATGGGTACAAATTGTGAAGCCCATTTTTGGTGTCCCCCGCCGTGATATTGCTGGAATATTGCTAAAAGCAGCGTAAAACCTTACTCACTGCGTAATCTGTAACAATGGTTAAAAGGCCCCAGCCACCATCACACGGCGTAAATAGTAACAAAACAAAAATCAGGCAATGAATGTTTAGATGCCTGACACCTAGTCCTGTGACAAGTGTGACATCAAATGAGAATTCTAAAAAAAATTATAAAAGAAATAGACTTATTCAATAATGATATTTGACAACCTGCTTATTATTCTCTTTGAATGACAATCTGTTATTTAGGAAAAGGATGGTGATTGTTTCAAACTGTGCTGGGAAGTGGGGTAGCCTCCAGGATAATGCGTTCTCTCATCACGCTTAATGCCTGGGTTTGATTCCAATGGATACAATGTGTGAAGCCAATTTCTGGTGTCCGTGATATTGCTGGAATATTGCAAAAAGCGGCATAAATCTATCTCTCTCACTCACTCCCTCATTTGGCTAAGATGATATATGCTCAAATGAATCCATAATTGATTAAATTTGATATATATTTTTTCATTGGTCACCTCGTTGACCTCTATTTCCTGAAGCCATTTTGTTTGTTTGTTTGTTTGTTTGTGTTGTTTGTCATTCATTGTGGTAGTGGTGTACTAGCAGTCATTCTTTCATCAGTTTGTTCACTGCTGAGTTAGCAAGTTATTGTTTTAACTTAAGATCTGATATGTTATCAGTTTGTTGTCAACCAAGATTTAAGTTGTGACATTTGCATTTTGTTTGGCAGGATTTAATGTTAAACACAGGTCTGTGTGTGTCCGCCTGGAAAACAGTTGTCCTTTGGGATCCAAACAGGGATCGGAAATTGACAGTTGTTCAAACTAGGTTTAACAAATACCATATTCGACGTAATTAGCGCCCCGCTCTTATAAGCGCCCACGGCAATGATAGCAATATTGGCTAGTAAACAATCCCAATTAGCACCCCTTCCGATTGAGCAGTGTACACACGACTTATTTATTCGTGTATAATACGCACTTGTGTGTTTTATGCACCCTTAATTATGGGCAATTAAGTCTGGAAAAATATATCTGTCGTGTATAAACATCTCAGCCTGTCAGCATAAACCCCGAAATTTACGATCTTTCAACTTTCAGTTTTTTTTAACCAAAATGATATTCTAATAAGAGCCCCCTATTTCTAATTTTGAGAGCGCCCTGGGCACTTATTACGTTGAATACGGTATACCAATTTAGGCTTGCAACAAGTGGCACAGAAATGAATTGCAGAAAATCTGCTGTAGCCAACACAGCAATTTTCACGCTTTTTTCATAAATATGTTTTTATTTTCTGTGTTTATATTAATGTTAATCAAAATTAAACGATTTTCTTTAGAAATTGGACAATTTGGATTTATGATCATGATTTTCATTTCATTCGTCATTAGTCCAGCGGCCAGTGTAGTTCTTGAACGCCGCTATGTGGACGTTCTGAACTTGTTGCCTGCCGCTGGCTGATGACCTGTGTTAAACAAAAGGTACTTGAAGAAAATGTCTGACGATGGAACATTATGAATGAATATCATTGTTATCAACTTATCGTACACTCATGCTTTGTACATTGTTCATCAGTCATATCTATGACAAAATGTTACATCAATAAAAATACTAAATTTTGTTACTGAGTTGACTGTCTGTTGCCAAGGTACAGATGATTGACTCCAGACACAAATCCTGTAGGGAGAAGAGTGAGTGAGTGAGTTTGGTTTTACGCCGCTCTTAGCAATATTCCAGCAATATCACGGCGGGGGACACCAGAAATGGGCTTCACACATTGTACCCATGTCGGGAATCGAACCCGGGTCCTCGGCATGACGAGCGAAAGCTTTAACCACTAGGCTACCCGACCGCCCCTGTAGGGAGAAGACCAACTGATATTCAGTCATAAAAAACAAACTGACATTAAACAACACATTATCGGTATTGGCAGTCGTATGTGTAC